CCCCCCCCGCGGCCCGCGGCTCGAACGTCGACCTTGGCTAAGAAATCTTTGCCAGTGTTCAAATCTTCCATTACCCCCTTCCCACCTTACCTTTACCCAGTGCGCGGGTTGGGGGAGGCGGCGGCGGGACACGGCAAATGCCCCCTGGGAGGTTGTGAGTGAGGAGGCCCTGGGGCCTGGGGGGCGTCTCCAGGCCAGAGCTGAGCGCAGAGCGGGAAGGGGGGAGAAGGGAGGACATGAGGCTGTGCAGCCATGCTCATTCCTGTTAAGAACCTGCCCTCCCCTCTCGGAGGCCCTGATGCTGAAGGCAAGGGGCCAGGATGGGTGGTGCACGGGGTCTAGGCCAGCGATGGTGAACCTTTTGAGCTCGGCGTGTCAGCGTTTTGAAAAACCCTAACTTAACTCTGGTGCCGTGTCACATATAGAAATTTTTTGATATTTGCAACCATAGTAAAACAAAGACTTATATTTTTGATATTTATTTTATATATTTAAATGCCATTTAACAAAGAAAAATCGACCAAAAAAATGAGTTCGTGTGTCACCTCTGACACGCGTGTCATAGGTTCGCCATCACTGGTCTAACCCATCACACCTAGACCTCTCCCCACCCGCGGCGGGAAACCCCTGGAGGATGGGTTAGCTCAACGTAACCATTTCTAAAGTGTCTGGGTTTGGAACTGGACGTCACATGATCTGTGAAATGCCCACAGACCCTCTCTCCCTTTTGCTCTTGCAATGTCAGCATCAGGACTATTCATCCAGCAGCCACACTGGGGACAGCCCCTGGGGTGTCAGCGTGGAGGCCCCTTTCCCAGTCGGAAACCACTGGCTTCCGAGTTCCCTTCGCTTCTGCCGGTCGCGGCCACCGGTGCCGTCGGCTTGGCCTTCGGGCCTCTGGGCTGGGCGCCCTCATCGAGGCCACACCTCTGGTTGGCTGAGTGAATGCTTTATTGTCTTGACACCTGACTCTAAGTTTAAGGATCCACATTTTAAAAATCCTAAACAATATGTTTTTATTGTCAGTAATGAATTTGCTGTCCTTGAGAGATACCCAAATAGAATAGAAAAGACAGACAGGGCATGCAGTGGAGGTGCTGTCACTGCTCACAGCGTGTCATTTCTGACGGATGGTAACGAGATAGTTCATCGTTTCACCAAAAGCATAAATGGTTGAAGTGACTCACCTGGGCTCGTATGTCACACAGAATTCCTCAGTGCTACGCGCGATTTGTAAGTTAAGCGCCTACTGAATAACTCATGGGAAGACGTATGAATCACGCAGACAAGCCTTGTCATTCTCGGCGATGTCTGGGTGGCACCTCTCCCTCCCCCGCTCGTCGTATATTGATGGCCCCTTGAAGGTCAAAGACGTCGCTTGCAGACGTAGCTGTCGCGGAGTTAAATGACTCCTTCGAGATTGAGAAATGGAGTTCAAGAGCCATGCTCCATAAAGCCGCGTTCACGTGCCCTACTCCTGACTCGAGAGCTGGAGAGCAGATGAAAGTGTGGAGATTTGTGTCAGCTAATGAGAGAAGCGTCAGGAAACATCATGGCTGTCAGCCGGATGGCTGCGTGACCCCGTGGGGGTTACATCTATCATTGAAACACGGGGTGACATCAAGCACCCATCACTGAAACATGGACGCAGATACTGCGTGAGACGGACAGATGGGAGGAACAGAGGCTTTCCTGGTCCCAGCGAGGGGACCCCTGGGAAAGATGAGGTTCTGGGAGCTAACTCTCACTTGTGGCATTGGGATAGCCATATTGGTACTTGGGTTTTTTTATACTATTTTTGAAATGGAGGATTTTAGGGACTTTCTTTACTGTTTTGGTTTCTGTCATTTGACATTTGGAAGAATTGATTATTTATCTCCTTCCTCACTCCCTCTCTCCATTCTTTCTTTATCTATTTTACATCATAAAGCATCATTGCTCATCGTCGAAACACTTCAAGAGTGGGAAGGGCTTGGGCTCCAGGAGACGAAAGGGCTTGTGGTCAGAGTCCCCTGTGGTCCGCTTTCCTCCTGCTGTATGTCCAAGTGCCTTTAAAAACAAAAAACAGCCCTGGCCAGTTGCTCAGTGGTTAGAGCGTCGGCCCATGGACCAAAGGGTCTAGGATTCAATTCCCAGTCAAGAGCACGTACCTCAGTTGTAGGTTCATCCTCACCAGTCAGGGCTCATGCATGGCGTAGGCGACCGATCGATGTCTCTCTGTCTCCCTCCTCCTCCCTCCTACCCCCTCTAGAAGTCAATGGAAATAATATCATTGGGTGAGGATAAACATTGTCCAATGTGCTTTGGGTTGTATTACTTCTAATCCATACGGTGAGTATAAGCTGCAAATTGTTAGAATTCCACTACCAAGAATTACTGTTTTCACTTCGCATGGCAACTGGCAAGTTGGAAAATGTATTTTTTAAGAAAATATCTAAAAGTTTATCTCCAGAAGCTAAATGTAACCATTCTCCTCCTCTGCATTCCAGACTCACTCATGTGGCATTCATGAACTGACTGTGTGTTTCAGCCCGTGAATAACTCACATGGTATTGATGAGCTGACTCTGTGTGTTAGCCTGTGACTCACTCACGTGGTATTGATGAGCTGACTCTGTGTGTTTCAGCCTGTGACTCACTCACATGGCATTCATGACCTGACTCTGTGTGTCAGCCTGTGACTCGCTCACGTGGCATTCATGAGCTGATTCTGTGTATTTCAGCCTGTGACTCACTCACGTAGCATTCATGAGCTGACTCTGTGTTTCAGCCTGTGACTCGCTCACGTGGTATTGATGACCTGACTCTGTGTTTCAGCCTGTGACTCACTCACGTGGCATTCATAAGCTGACTCTGTGTGTCAGCCTGTGACTCACTCACGTGGCATTCATGAGCTGACTGTGTGTCAGCCTGTGACTCACTCATGTGGTATTGATGAGCTGACTCTGTGTGTTTCAGCCTGTGACTCACTCACGTGGCATTCATGACCTGACTCTGTGTTTCAGCCCATGACTCACTCGAGTGGCATTCATGACCTGACTCTGTGTTTCAGCCCGTGAATAACTGACGTGGTATTGATGACCTGACTCTGTGTTTCAGCCCGTGACTCACTCACGTGGTATTGATGAGCTGACTCTGTGTGTTTCAGCCTATGAGCTGCAGAACTGCCCGGACCCGCCCCCCTTCCCCAACGGGTACCTGGTCGGCTCCGACTACAGCGTGGGCCAGTCCATCTCTTTCCAGTGTTACCCCGGGTACATCCTCATCGGCCACCCCGTCCTCACCTGCCAGCACGGGACCGACAGAAGCTGGAGCCACCCCTTCCCCAGGTGTGACGGTAGGTCAGCCGTTCCTCCCGGGAGCCAGGGAGCTCCTCTCGTAGATAACGGCGCCTTGAATGTTACAGGAACTCATCCGAGAATGCATTAATTTGTTCAACAAATATTTATTGGGATCTGTCATGTCCAACTCATTCTACTTAGGATTCAGGAACACGTCTTGGGCCAGTAGGTTAAGAAAAGATGCATAAATCAGTCTTGCCCCCAAGGAAATGACAAGGATGTCATAATAAACACAAATATTTGTTATGCAAAACCAGAGACGAGGAGCAGACTGCTTGGATGGATTTCAGATACAGAAGACGGTGTTTGCTTGGGAAGGGACGGGCACTGTTTAGGGTGAGATTAGAGGCGGGAGGGTGGTTATCAATTCCACCCCGGAGATTTTTTTACGGCTTAACTTCTGTCATCATCGTATATCACTTCTCTGTTTCAGAAAACTGGTTTTATTTGGGGAGTGGGACTGGAAGCACGCACTCTGTTTTGCTACTGGGAGGTAGAGACTGTCCGGGGAGAAGAAATGGTCTCAGCAAAGGGTTGATGTAGGACCCTCTTAGGGAAAACAGAGCTGCGGGTCCCCTGGTGGTGGGGAGGGCTCCTGGAGCAGCTGGAATCAGCTGGTGGGCGTGGCAGGGGGGGCGGGTGTCTGCATCCCTGGGAGCCTCCTGTTGGCTGCTGGAAGCTTAGGGTAATGGGGGAATGTTTGCAACCTCAGGTTAATGTAAACAGATCGAGGACTCTGTTTCTGAAGACTGCATATCAGACAGAAAAGTTACTGGAGCCCTGATATTCCCACATTATAAATACAGTAGCTCTGAGTGAAAACATAATGAAAATGCCAACTCTGTGGACCTTTGAAATGTTAAATACTCGTGTCCCACTGCGCAGAGGGAATGGGGACTGGCTGTGCTTGCATTTCTACTGAAGAAGGAAAAAGATAAAAAAACAACATCAATGGGTGCTTTAAAGCCTAGTTCTCAACCGTGTTTTTCCATTCTATGCCATTATAAAAACAACTATAGCAAACTTTAGCTGCATTTTATTTTACGTATTTATTTTTTTAATATGTTTTTATTGATTTCAGAGATGAAGGAGAGGGAGAGAGAGAGAGAAACATCCATGATGAGAGAGAAACTTCAATCGGCTGCCTCCTGCACACCCCCCGGTTGGGGATGGAGCCCATAACCCGGGCACATGCCCTAACTTGGAATCAAACCCTGACTTCCTGGTGCATGGACAGCGCTCAACCTACTGAGCCACACTGGCCCAGACTTTAGCTGTATTTTAAAAATTATCTTAGCCTAATACAAATTTAATCATTTCAAATTACTAGTCATAGTGTGATGCAAATTTAAAATAGTATATTAAAATTATATTTTAAAACTAAGAATAGCAGTTGCATACCTGGTGTTTCATTAAATCACTTAAAAGACCTTTCATCCTATTCCCCATTATATTTATATGCATAAATTACTCTGAATAGTCAGGATTAAACCCTTTCTTTTAATTTGTAATTTTTGCCAGAATCTTTTCATATGTAAATGGAGGACTTCTTGGCTTGCTGTAAAAAATAGAATTAAGTATTTAATTAGATTTCATTGCTTTTTCAAGCCCAGTTTCCAACATGGAGAAAACTGCTGGCTCAGAGTTATCTGATGGGTTGGCGGTAACTCACCGCATCTTCTCTGTGGCTTGAGGGTGACGCCATCTCTTGCACCGGCATTAGGGCTGCAGGACCACCCAGAGTCGGCCACACTGCAAAGCTGAGGTCCTCCTGCATCCAAGCCGCCCGCCCCCAGGGGTAGTTTGGGGAGTGCCCAGAGCCACCCTGAGGCTGGACAGCACACTGGGACGCGGGACCCCTAAGCTGTTGGACTCAGGGGTGGTTTACAACAGGGAAAGGCCCAGTGAAATCACCACGGGAAAGACGGGCAGGCGGGGGGTGTCCAGGAGGCCCCTGGCTCTCAGAACTGACCTGGGACAACATGCACAGACCATGACCAACCTGGAGGCTCACTGGGCTTCGTGTCCAGGTTTTTACTGGGCGCCGTGACATGGGAAGGTCCATAGATCGTCTATTGGTTGATACCAGTTTCCAGACCACCCGATATCCTGATGGAGGTCCCACCCAGGTCCCCTGGCTGGACTTCCTGGGTGGCCAGCCCTGCCCTCAGCCTGTTGGGTGTGGCCAGCCCCCTGGTGAAACACAGACAGTCCTGTCAGGGGTGCCATACATGACCTTCCAGAACCCACGGCCAACGACAGGCCTGTCCTGGGCAACGTCAGATGGTTTAATACACAGATGCCTTTACCATGACATCTCTCTCCACGCCTAGAAAGCCCTAAACAGAATAAGAAGTGACATGTAAGATCCATGTAAAATCTTGTCCTAAATAAATTTTCTAAGCATCACCCAGTGTGTATTTAACATCCTCCATATTGAATTAAATTCAGAACTTCCGCAGAGGGCATTGTTTTCGAACAAGTTTACTTTATTCCTGGAAGGCATGTTTCCAGAAAGCTCTATAACGAAAAGGTGCTTTTCCCGAGAATGGAGGTCTGCGCAGGGATCGGCGGGGGCCACGGGGACACAGGGCCCCTCACGGGACAGGTGCTCGGCCGGTCGCCCGGCAGCCTCAGGGGCACGACCTTTATCAGCTGAGGGCTCGGGCCCGCAGGGCTGTGGTGGGACACAGGGCAGCCGTACTGAGCGGCCACCTCACAGGCCCAGCCCCTCCCTCGAGCCCCAGGAGGGTCTTAGGGAAAAAATAGAAGCTCTGAACAGCCTCTGGGTGTCTTTATTAAAAACGGCAATTCAGCAATTGAGATTCAAGGATTCTAAATCTGAAAGCATCAACCTCCACAGAATATATGAAGCCAGTTTGTCTGGACATGCTTAAAAGAGTAATATCTTCATTTGCGTAAGGATCTATCGTGGAAAGTTAGTATATTTCAAACCCATCTGGGAAAAGTAATGGACCCAAAGTGTGATAACCTTGAAATAAATAAGAGAGTGTGTCTGACAGTGACGAGAAAGTCGAGACTGCATTAATTTTGCCAGTAACTTATAATTATACCGAAGGCTCCATTTTTAAGAAAAGTGGGTTATAATTGTTACAGTAATGTCTAAAAGACTGTGGTTTATTAATGCGCTAAATGTAATTTGATAATTACATATGCCTCTACACTTACAAATGGTAGCTCAAAAACTTAAAGTATTTTGTTGACCTAATTGATCCTTTTCCACTGAAATATTTATGTCAACATTCTCTTACGGTCTTTTTACAAATTTAAACGCTGTCACCTGATACTCACTTTACATGCATTAGCGCAGGGGTCCTCAAACTACGGCCCGCGGGCCACATGCAAATACAAATATTGTATTTGTTCCCGTTTTGCTTTTTTACTTCAAAATAAGATATGTGCGGTGTGCATAGGAATTTGTTCATAGTTTTTTTTTTAAACTATAGTCCGGCCCTCCAACGGTCTGAGGGACAGTGAACTGGCCCCCTGTTTAAAAAGTTTGAGGACCCCTGCATTAGCGCCTGTGGCGGGAGCCACGGGGACAGAGGGAATGACGAGGACAGCACGCGGCAGCTTCTTTTAAAGTGACAGATTCCGTCAGCAAGAAACCCCTGGATTGCACAATCATATGAGAAGTCCAACCGGCCAGAGTATATGCTGGCCCTGCGGTGTGGCTCAGGGCTGAGCCTTGTCCACGCACCAGAGGTCGCTGGTTCGATGGCCCCGGGTCAGGGGTCAGGGGTCAGGGCACACACCCTGGTTTCAGGCTCCATCCCCAGCCGGGGGCGTGCAGGAGGCAGCTGCTCCCCGTGCCTCCTTCCCATCCGTGTTTCTCTCTCCTCCATGTTTCTCTCTCTGAAATAAAATATAAATTATGATGTGCATATTGTTAACATTAAGGTTTACCAAGTTGATTGATGAAGACAGGAGACCCCTCCCCCAAGGGGTCAGAGGCTGTGACGTCTGCGTGAGTTTTGAAGGAAGAGGCCCCGTGGGAGGCACCCACCGGCCTGTGTGACTGCAGGGGCTCCGTGGCCGCAGGTCGCAGGCGGTGAAGTACTTTCTAGGTTATCAGGCAAAGTTTATCCAACCCAAACGCCGCTTATAACCGCACCGTGAAACTCGCCGAGTGTGTCCGCAGCCCCTGCTGCTGCTGGATTTACCCCAGAGCCCAGCCAGGCCGCCCGCCTTGCGATCCCGCCGCCTCCGATACCAGCTGCACCGTGATGCGGCCGCCGCTGTCCCTCATGACTTCTCATGGTCAGGGAGCTTTTCTTCCTATTATTTTCATCTATTTTGGCCTCTTCGTTCCCCGTAAATGCTGCACTGCTGGTGGCAAGTCTTTGAAAGCCCCGCACATGCTGGTAACACACAGGCGTAGCACACCCGTTGGGTTTCCGTTCCATGAAGAAGTCTGCTCGTCTCTCCGGTTCTGCCGTGTGATGCTGCCATGTGAGTGACAGATCACATCTCAGGTGATCCTGCTAACGTGTGGCCATTGCATCTTTTATAAACAAGAATAACGATTGCCATGGCGACCGCGGATCAGCGTGGGAAGTGAACTAGGAGCGCCTGATGGGTGGCGCTGCCTCTCCTGGCTGAGCTGGCTGGACCGGCCGGGCGGTGACGGCGCATCGCTTTATCTCCTTCCTCCAGGCGCAGATCTGCGAGGCGGCGATAGTGTATCTGTTTCAAAGCAAATAGACAGGATGCTGTGGCCTCAGCCCATGAAATAGGCTTGAAATCTCACTTAGACCAGACATGTCGGTTTCCTGCTTAAGCATCATCCCCTCCTCATCCCGCCTGGGACTGTCCACTCCCCGCAGGAGACTGGGCCCAGTGCTTCCCCTTAATGCTGGGAGGACTGTGGCCGGAGGAGTCGGGAAGTTTGGCGGATGTGTTACCCGAACAGGCAGCTGAGAAGCACAGTCTTCTGAGGCTTTAGGGTTTAGGGGGATTGTTCTGACAACGTGGTTCCCCGGGGACCCTGTGGGCTGAGGGCGCCAGGAGCTCCCTGTGTCCCTTTAACGCTGACCATTTGTCTCCGTGGCCTCTGCCCCCTTAGCTCCCTGTGGCTACAACATCTCGGCTCCCAACGGCACCATCTACTCACCCGGCTTCCCCGACGAGTACCCGGTGCTGCAGGACTGCCTGTGGCTGCTCACCGCGCCGCCCGGCCACGGCATCTACATCAACTTCACGCTGCTGCAGACCGAGGCCGTCAACGACTACATCGCAGTGTGGTACGGCCACCCCGGCCGTGTCCTCCCAGACACCCTGTGACCCCCCCAGACACCCTGTGTCCTCCCAGACACCCTGTGACATCTCCCAGACACCCTGTGACCCCCCCCAGACACCCTGTGTCCTCCCAGACACCCTGTGATCCCCCCCAGACACCCTGTGACCTCCCAGACACCCCGTGACCCCCAGACACCCTGTGACCCCCAGGCACCCTGTGACCTCCCAGACACCCTGTGTCCTCCCAGACACCCTGTGACCCCCCCCAGATACCCTGTGACCTCCCAGACACTCTGTGACCTCCCAGACACCCCTGTGACCTCCCAGACACCCCTGTGTCCTCCCAGACACCCCTGTGACCCCCCAGACACCACTGTGACCCCCCCAGACACCCTGTGACCTCCCAGACACCCCATGTGACCTCCTAGACACCCCTGTGACCCCCCAGACATCACTGTGACCCCCCCAGACACCCTGTGACCTCCCAGACACCCCTATGACCTCCAGTCACCCCTTTGTCCTCCCAGACACCCCATGTGACCTCCTAGACACCCCTGTGACCCCCTCAGACACCACTGTGACCTCCCAGACACCACTGTGACCCCTCCCAGACACCCCTATAACCCCTCCCATGTCCCTGAGACCCAGACCCCCAGCTGAGGAGGGGCGTGAGGACGTGGCTGTCCCTGAGGAAAGGTGGACAAGTGAAGAAGGACCTCAGGTGACCTGCCTGAGCGTGCTGTGTGGTGCATGACCCAGGATCGCTCTGACACAGGGCATAGCGGAGGCCATTTGCTTTACTGACTGAGCGTGATCTGTTTCTTACAGAAAAGCTGGTAGGCTCCTCTAATCATGAGACAGGGATGCTTCCAGAACCACAGTTTCCCATAGATGCTAATATTTTATTCTGTGTTTTAAAATCATATCAGTTCAGTAGCAAGACCTTCATAAACCTCCCCCAGGATCACGGAGACGCCATTGGGTTTAGGGTTGAAAGTAGGAGCTTTGGAAGGAGGGTGACACATGGTATTGCGGGTCCTGGAATTCGGGCCACGTCGCCCCCACTCCCCGGAAAGGCCAGCCGGGGTGCAGGGGTCAGCGGGCGCCTCCAGGCACATCCACAGTAGCGCCCACCTGACAGAGGAGAAGGGACGGCTCCTGGGAGCCCCCGGGACCTCCCTCCAGCGGCTGGTGCTCTCCCCGCAGGGACGGCCCTGACCAGAGCGCGGCCCAGCTCGGCGTCTTCAGCGGGAACACGGCCCTGGAGACGGCGCGCAGCTCCACCCGCCACGTGCTGCTCGGCTTCCACAGTGACTTCTCCAACGGCGGCTTCTTCGTCCTCAACTTCCACGGTGAGCACCCCCCACCCCCACCCCGCTGTCCCCACCCGCCGGGCCAGCGGGGCCCACGAGCCGGTCTTGCCTGGGAAGCCTTTTGAAAACTGGTCTTGCCTGGGAAGCCTTTTGAAAAATATACTTTATTGACTTCTGAGAGGAAGGGAGAGGGAGGGAGGAGCATCCATGATGAGAGAGGCCCACGGGGAGCAAACCTGCGACCCGGCCCGTGGCCTGACCGGGAATCGAGCTGCGACCTCCCGGTTCACAGGTCAGTCCTCACCACGGAGCCACGCCCACCGGGCGCCTGGGACACGCTTTTGTTTAATGTCTATTATTTCCGCCTTTCTGAGCTGTGCTTTGCAACCAGCTTGGACTCATTCCAGGAGAAGTGTGTGGACGTGAAACTCGATGTGCATGCCACAGACACGCGTGGCAATCTCGTGGCTGCCCTCATCGCTCTGTGCGATTACATACGGGCGAGAGCCAGCCCTGAGGGCGTGAGAGTGACCGCTAGTGATGGGAAGAGCATGGGGGTCCCTCACCTCTCGTGAGGATGAGGACGGCCACCAGGGAAGTCGTGGGGGCAGCGACCTTATCCGACCTGAACGTGGACGTGGGACCAGGCACGGGTGGACCATTTCCCTTAGGAATCCCACGTGTGTCCGGGACGTGTGACGAGGTCATCGTGTTTAAATCGTAGCTTCTCTCTTCGGCGGCAGATGCTCCGGGCACTGACCTGTCCTGTGAGCAGGGGAGCTGAGAGCTTTATAAACCCACGACCTCCTGGCACGGACACCGCGGTGCCCAGATGCCAGCAGCACAGGGGCGTGACGGGGATCATCGTGTTTATGCAGCAAATGTAACTGCAGCTTTTCTTTCTCGTCAACCCCGTAGCCTTTCAGCTCAAGAAGTGCCCGCCGCCCCCGGCCGTCCCGCAGGCGGAGCTGCTGCGTGAGGACGAGGACTTCGAGATCGGTGAGGGCGCGTCCTGGGAGGCCATCGGAGTCACGGGCTTCCCCCCCACCCCCCGCGGAGTCGCTCCCAAGAGTGGGTGTGTGTCAGAATATCCCACTGCCCCGCGGGGGACTACACGCCCAGGTCACGCGCCGACACACACGTTTCCCTCTCGTCATGTCCGTGACCTCTGGGCTCCGCCACGTGACGTTCACTTCTGTCACTTGGAGCCCATCCCCCAGGCACTTACTGTCCATGTTTCCCTCTTTTTTAAATATATTTTTATTTATTTCAGAGAGGAAGGGAGAGGGAGAGAGAGAAACATCAATGAATCATGGATCAGCTGCCTCTTACACACCACACACTGGGGATGGAGCCCACAGCCCAGGCATGAGCCCTGACCGGGAATCCAGCCGTGACCTCCTGGTTCATAGGTCGATGCTCAGCCCCTGAGCCACACCGGCCGGGCCGTGTTTTCCTCTTGAGCAACATTTTCCGAGGCAAACACACAGATATGTGGTTCCGTTAGGGAGGCAGGATCCTAACCTAGAACCTCGTCCCCTGTGGCGACAACAATGGCCGGTGTAATGGGCCTCCCGTCCCGCTGGGCCTGGTGAATGTAGTGAGTGATGGGTGTGGGGCGTCCCGCCCTGTGACTTCTGTGAAAGGTCCACTCACTCCACCAGCACCCGCCCCGTTAGGAGGCCAGCCCCGGACCTGTCCGTGGAGCAGTCACTGGGCCCAGGGCTTCTCGGTGGCAAGGACAGGCGCTCCGTCCTGTCTGTGGTGACGCTGTGTCTCAGACCCGGTCCAACACGGGACCTCCGTTCTCCTACTCAGATGACAGAGTCAAAGGCGCTGTGTGCCCATCAGGCCAGGTCCCCTCCGGAAGCCAAGAATCCCAGCGCCCAGTTCCGGTGCCTGCCCTGTGGCCCTCGGGGAGGGGGGGACCGGGACAGTGGTCGGGAGTGGACGCCTCCCGTCCGTCCTGACGCTGCTTGAGTTGAGTCAGGCCGCATTTCTATGAACGAGGCGCTGAAAAGGGGGTGTTTTGTCTAAAACGAGGCTGGGCCTGGCTGGTTTGGGATAGAGCATCGGTCTGCGGACTGAAGGGTCCCAGGCTCCATTCCCAGTCAGGGCACAGGCATGGGTTGCAGGCTTCTTCCCCAGTAGGGGGCGTGCAGGAGGCAGCCGATCCATCATCCTCTCTCATCATGGATGCTTCTCTCTCTTTCTCCCTCTCCCTTCCTCTCTGAAATCATAAAAATATATTTATCAAATAGAAACAGATAGAACGGAGGATGGGCATTGGTCGGACGGACACGGTTTGCCCGCTGACGTCGCTGGTTAGGTCAGCGCCTGTGTGCGAGGCGCCCACACTCTGGGTGTCACGGAGGCCAGTTTCCGAGTGTCGTGTGGACTCTTGCAGGGGACTCCGTGCGGTACCTCTGCCACCCCGGCTACACGCTGTCGGGCTCGGACACGCTCACCTGCAAGCTCGGCGCCCAGCTGCAGTTCCAGGGTTCGCTCCCCACGTGCGAAGGTACGTGAGCGAGGCCACGCGTCCGCGTCCCACGTGGAACACACTCCCTGCGTGGGGGGGGCTTCCATGTGTGGGTCTGACCTTGCCCTTCCTCCTTGCCCTGAGCCCCTGCAGTCACAGTCCCCGCGCACAGACACCACCCTGGCCTCTCTTGGTGCCAGAACCGGAAACCACAGCAGCCAAGAGGTCTCGCTGTGCCCCCGGCAGGGTGTGGGTGAGGGGGGAGGTTCCAAACACACGGCAGCGCTGAAAGAAGTAAAAGTGAGACCTGAACACCAGGCCCGGGTGCCGCCATCCGTGTCCACCGGGAATCCGTGTCCCGTGTCCCTGTTTCCTTCCATCCGTCTCTTCCTCTCCTGAGATTTCTGACGCATTTCAAGGCTGATGGGAGGCAGCGCTCTGCGTCTCTGTCCTCCCGCCGTGTGTCCCCAGCCAGCTAGGGCTGACCATTTGTTTCTGTAACGTCAGTGAACGCACCCGTTTCTCTCTGTGACAGGCCTTTAAGGACATGGACCAGGCACAGGGGCAGAGCGCCCTCTGCGGGGGGTGTGACCTGGTTGGACACTTGTCCTCATTTAGACCCGAATGGGGGCCGGGAGGCCTGACACCAGCGGGCAGTGCCTTGGCATCTCTCGCACCCGCGGGCCCTGCGGCTGGACCCAGTCCTGACCCTCTCCCCGGAGACCCCAGGGACGGCCTCCGGTCCCTCAGGCCAGGGCCCCTACTTACTTATTTATTTATATTTATTTTTAATTTAAAAATGTATTTTCATTGATTTCAGAGAGGAAGGGAGAGGGAGGGAGAGATAGAAACCTCCATGATGAGAGAGAATCATAGATCAGCTGCCTCCTGCACGCCCCACACTGGGGATGGAGCTCACAACCTGAGCATGTGCCCTGACCGGGAATCAAACTGTGACCTCCTGGTTCATAGGTCGACGCTCAGCCACTGAGCCACGCTGGCCGGGTGAGGTCTCGCTTTTTAGTTGACAGGGGGAAGCGTGGGATGCTGGGTGGACCCCCCACACCTGCCCTGGGTTAGGGTGTGGGGGGTTCGGTCTCTATGAGGGAGACAGCAAGGCAGTCGCTGCTCCCACGTCACTCCGGCTCCACTCCAGGGCAGGGCAGGGCTAGACTTCCGGTCCACCCGGTCCAGGTAAAGAGGACTTCCCGGCTCAGTATTTCCTCTCCATTTGGCAGCCGCGTCAGATTTGGCAGCCCTGGGTCGGGTGGATGACTTGGCCGCCTTGAGCCTGGAGTTAAATAGGACCTGTGCACCCTCCTCCTGCGATCACCCTTCTTCCTGTCCGTCATCTGCCCGTGTCATCTGTCTGAGCGCCCTGCGTGTCAGCATGTCATACATGTACAGTTATATGTTGTACATATATGATTCTCTTAGTGCCACACATGCATCATTCTCTTATATTTCATATATGTATCATTCCCTTGCATGTCATACATGAACCATTATCTTATGTCATATGTGCATCATTCTCTTATGCCATACATGTGTCATTCTCTTATATGCCACACATGTATGATTATATTGTAGGTCATGTGTGTATCATTCTCTTACATCATGCATGCATCATTCTCTTATGTGTCATACATGAACCATTATCTTATGTCATATTGCATCATTCTCTTATGCCACACATGTATCATTCTCTTACGTCATGCATGCATCATTCTCTTACGTGTCATATGTGCATCATTCTGTCCTGGGTGGCAGGGCGATGTTACCGTGTTACTACTGTCGGTCAGGGCTGGTCCCCTGCCGTGTGCCCCGCCTTCCCTGGGTCAGAGCGCAGTGGGAACGCCTCTCCCTCCCTGGCCTCGCACACGCAGGGAGGACGCTGACCTACTGAGCATTCCCTTTGTTAAGGAGAACTTTCCGTCCCTCCTCAGCCCAATGCCCGGCCAATGAGGTCCGCACGGAGTCCTCGGGGGTCATCCTGAGCCCGGGTTACCCCGGCAACTACTTCAACTCGCAGACCTGCTCCTGGACCATCCGCGTGGAGCCCCGCTACAACATCACCCTCTTCGTGGACAGCTTCCAGAGCGAGAAGCAGTTCGATGCCCTGGAGGTGTTTGACGGTACGTTTCTCCTCGGGGTTCCCGTGCCGCTCACCTCTGCCTGGTGTGCCAGCAACACCCTCGCCAGGTTTCTGTCTCACAGGAACGTGATATATTACCGAGTTAGACTACACGTCCCCGAACAGGCAGTGGGTTCCTCTTGCGCGGTGCAATCTCGGACCCGGTGCCCATAAACCATGAACATCTGTCAACGGCCCAGCTGTCACACAATTAGAAACCTGGCGATACACTGGCGATGAGCTGACGATGCTTTAATCATTCTCCACGTGGGGATTCAGGGCAGAGGCCCTCGCACAGCTCCTCCTTTCTCGCTAAGAAGTATATTCATTCAGAAGATCTTTCAGGAAGTTTAAGATTTCGGAAATAAAGGTGCTCAATCCGATGTAAATGACGATTTCACTAGAAATACATAAATATAATGGCTCACAGATTTCTAGATGATAAATGCTTCAGGAGTCTTCAATAAACAGTTTTTTAAATTAGTCTTATATATTTTTATAGAATTCTAAGAAACTTCTTAAAAATCCTCACCTGAGGACATGCATTTCATTGATTCAAGAGGGAGAGGAAGAGAGAAAGAGAGAGAGAGAGAGGAGCATCAATCCGTTGCCTCCCATGCGCACCCAGACCCGGGATCAAGCCCACAGCCTGGGCATGTGCCCTGATCGGGGATACACTGTGACCCCTCAGTGTAAGGGCTGATCCCCTAACCATTGAGCAACCCCAGCCAGGGCTCATAGACTTTTTTTTAATTGATTTTTATTACTTTGTTTTTTTTGGTTTTTTTAATTGATTTTTAGAGCGAGGGGAAGGGAGAGGGAGAGAGATAGAAACATCGATTGAAAGAGAAACATCATTAATCGGCTGCCTCCTACACACCCCACACTGGGGATTGAGCCCACAACCTGGGCATGTGCCCTGATCGGAAATCGAACCCGCGACCTCTCAGTTCCTGGGTTGATGCTCAGCCACTGAGCCACGCCAGCCGGGCTGACAGACTTTTTAGTAGAACAGTGCGATGCTTGGAGTGAAAGTGTGGCTGAATCGTCAATTTGGACTGAAACCGATGTTAATAATTTTATCATACCCCAGGAAATTAGACCAGCATAGAATTATGGCTGCACATAATAATAGGGTTTTCACATGTTCTGAAAAATTTGTCATTACGTTCTGGTAAATAATCAATTCAGTGAACATAAATCTACTGTAATTGATTCCGATTCATTCTATGGGTGTTCATATGCCTTTCACTGGCTGATGAACAGTAATAACCGAATTGCTCAGATGGATGGATACTACATGAATTAGCGTATGAATTGCCAAGATGAAGTGCTAAGTTGGAAATTAAATTTACACGTGTACACACAGAAACGAGTATTTCCATTTTCAGAGGTGTTGCCTTGAGTGTGCAGTAGGCCCCCCTTATCCACCTTTTCAATTACCCACTGACAACTGTGGTCCAAAAATATTAAATGGAAAATTCTAGAAATGGTAAGTTTTAAGTTGCGCTCTGCTCACAGTGGCGAGATGGAACCTCAGGGTCCTCCTCAGTCCCCGGGACGTGAGCGTCCTCTGCCCAGCATCTCCCTGTGGCCCAGCCTCCCTGCCGGCGACCAGCCCTGGTCCTGGGCTCTCGGGCTGCGCCCCGTCACCCTTCCTTCACTTAATGCCGGTCCCGCAGCGCAAGGCGGTGAAGCTGCGGTTCAGGGGTGCCAGCGATGAGCCGGGTCCTCCCTGCAAGCGGAAAGGGGGAAAGTACAGGGAAAAGCATAGGAATGCGGGTCCGGCACTGCCTGTGGTCTCAGGGCCCACGGGGCTGTGTGCTGTGTACCCCGGTGACTGCTGCTTTAAAGATGGGCTCCGTGTGATTGCAGTGTGAGGGTGTGGAGAGCACACACCCGGAATCGCTCCGGCGGCCGTGCCTTCGTATCGGGAAGCACCTGCTGCTGTTTTCCCCAGGAATGTTTCCTCTGCCGTGGGAGGACCCAGCTCTGTGTGGAACGTGTAGAGCCCATGGGACACGGATGACAGCATCCGTGTTCTGCCGTGATCAGCAGGCGCGTGTCAGCGTCTGTGTTTCTGTTTCGCAGGCTCTTCCGGGCAGAGCCCGCTGCTTGTGGTGCTGAGCGGGAACCACACAGAGCAGGCGCGTTTCACCAGCAGGGGCAACCAGCTGTTCCTGCGCTGGTCCACGGACCACGCCACCAGCAAGAAGGGCTTCAAGATCCGCTACTCAGGTGAGCGGGAGACGCCGACTGCGTGGACAGGGCTTTCCACACGAGTGATCGCATTTCGTTCAAATTACACAGCCCGGCTGGCGGCTCAGGGCTGAGCGTCCACCTATGAGCCAGGAGGTCACAGTTCCATTCCCTGTCAGGGCGCGTGCCCAGGGTTTCAGGCTCCATCCCCAGGAGGGGGCGTGCAGGAGGCAGCCGATCTATGATTCTCTCTCATCATGGATGTTTCTCGCTCTCTCCCTCTCCCTTCCTCTCTGAAATCCATAAATATATTAAAGAAAAAGAAATAGCCCTAACCGGTTTGGCTCAGTGGATAGAGCGTCAGCCTGCGGACTGAAAGGTCCCAGGTTCGATTCCGGTCAAGGGCATGTACCTTGGTTGCGGGCACATCCCCAGTAGGGGGTGTGCAGGAGGCAGCTGATCGGTGTTTCTCTCTCATCGATGTTTCTAACTCTCTATTCCTCTCCCTTCCTCTCTGTAAAAAATCAATAAAATATATTTTTTTAAAAAAGAAAGACAAATAGGTAGACAGAAACCTGATTTCTGCAGATGAATGGTAAACTTCGATAGGAATGATGTGAGGGGCATGCTGTGTGATTCTCCAAGTGAATTTAGGGAAAATAAACTGCCTGTGGGTTAACGATTTAAAACGATGTTGCCCACACCCTAAACCACTGAGCCCGTATCATGGAAAGCAGACATTTCCCCAAAGATAAAATTCTATCCGTTAACCTATTAATTACCTATCAATTAAGCTATGTTTAGATGCTAAGGGAACAGTCAGGAGATATGATCACGATGCTGTTAACTTCACAAGTGGTCCTGTGGTGAGAGCAGGTGTGGTTTCCTCAGAAACCGCCCACCGGCCCTCCGTGGGAGGCTGCCCCCTGTGACCCCCGCAGTGAGTGTGGTTCCTGCTCCCCGCGTGCTCTGGGCACGGGTGTCAGGGGTACGTTTCAGAGCCGGTTACACACTGCAACTGATTTCTTGTTATTCGAACAGCAGAGCTGTTCCCGACATCATCTAAGCAGGGAGATGGCGGCTCACTTACGCTTGTCTGTCTGTCTGTGTGTCTGTCTGTCTGTCTGCATGTGTGCATCTGTCTGCCTGCAGCCCCTTACTGCAGCCTGACCCACACGCCCAGGAACGGCGGCGTCTTGAACAGGACGACGGGGGCGCTGGGCAGCACCGTGCACTACTCCTGCCAGCCCGGGCACCGCCTGGTGGGCCGCGGCAACGCCACGTGCACCCGGAACCCCGTGGGCATGTTCCAGTGGGACGCCCTCCCGCCGCTGTGCCAGGGTAAGACGGGGTCCCTCCCCCCGGACCCCTCACTGCGATCATGCTGACAGGGACGGAGCCGGGGCTGGGCTGAAAGGGGAGCCACCTGAGCTGGCCCAGAAGCGCAGGTCAGCTCTCGGGGCCATGCACAGTCCTGGCCTTTGGGGGGCGGGGGGGCTTCATCGCACCTCACCTGGAGTCAGAGGGCGGTGGGCAGGCACAGGGCCGGAGGGCATTCTAACACCCACTGTGGTTCATCGCAGACTGAAAAGTGCGTTTGCTCATTTCGGTTCCAAGTAAGTTTTTTACAGTTGAAGTCATTTAAAAAGCCAACTCCGAATGCTGACTTTCCTTCTTTTGGGTTAAAACTCATTCTGGGAGCCGTATGCTGTGGATTCGTTTTCCTTTGGTCGCTCACATCGCCGGCTTGTTAAAGTCGATTTCAATATTTTACGCCTTTTTTTGTATTTTTTCTGTCAAACGCATAAAAGCCAGATTTTCAAAGGCGGCATTTTAATTTTTAATTGAGGTCTTTGAAATCATGAAGTGTTCGGAGTTTTGTCTGATTGAGGTTTATATTCGTAAGGAGATGTGTTGGCCTTTGAAAGCTGATTATGGTTTATAAATAGAGCCTCCCACTGGTTTCCCCTCTCTCTCTCCTCCCTGGGATGCGAGCTTTTCTGGCTGCACAGGGGCCAGTGGCTGCAGGCATCTCCCTCAGAGCTCCGCCCCTGGCTCAGTGCTCACACACACTCCCCCACCACCTCACACGCCCCGCCCCCTGCCCCCCAGAAACCTCTGTAATGTCGGGGCTCACACAGGGCCAGTGCGCTTGTTCCACTAGGAACGGTGATGCTTTTTCTTTAAAACAAAAGTAAATTTTCTTTCAAAAGAAAAAACGCTCTTCATTTCCTTTAAATGTTTTGTTGCTCTCCGCCTGTGACCAAGCGCCGACTGCTCACGCGCAAGCAGCCGTGGGCCGTGTCCTGGGCCTGGGACCGAGGTTTAAATGCCCGATGGGAGCATCTCGGATGCGGGCGGATGAAGGGTCCCGGTGTGGTCCTCCGGGGGCTTCCTGGGCAGAGACACCGGACTGGCAGGTGTTGCTAGGAGGGGAACCGCCCTGCCCTGCACGTGGCTCCCTCCTGGAACTTGTAGCCATTTCACCTGAGAGTTTATTTATTTACTATTCATTCATTCATTCATTCATTCATTCATTCTTTTTTAAAGGGAGCCCCAGGTGCATGCTGACAGAGTAGGAGAGGTGTTATTATTGATCTTTAAAGAGGGAGGAAGAGAGGGGGAGAGAAACATCGATGGGAGAGGGAAGCGCTGATTGGCTGCCTCCTGCACACTCCCTCACCCCCCGCCATGCGCCCCGACTGGGATCGAACCAGCGGCCTTTGGGTGCATGGCAGGGTGCCCGACCAGGGAGCTCCATGGGCCAGGCCCGGAGACCGCGCCTGTGCCTCGCAGACAGGCAGGGCCGGAGCTGGGGCTGAGGAGAGAAGTGCTCTGTGGAGTTCTGCCCGTGGGAGCTCCCAGCGTCCCTCCTCACGGCAGCGTTTCCTCGCCAGCCTTCGCCATCAGAGTGACGGGCACCGACCTCTGGCCCAGCTCCTGGCCCCGTGTCCCCCCCGAATCCCCTGTAGCTCAGCCCGAGGCCCAGCCCCCGGGCAGGTGACATAAAATAATAGAGGTTATGATCGAGGATGCCTTGTAGCTCGTTGTTGGCCTTTAATAGAACTTGTAGGAACATGAGTCACGGGGGGCAGGGGGAAGGGGTTCGGGGGAGGGGGTGTGTGTGCAGCGAATAAGAAGGAGGATTTGGAGCCCTGAGGCGGGACCGCTCAGTGCGAGGAGTCCGCACCGCGACGGGTTCTGTGACTGGGAAGATGCTATGTTGTCCCTTTTTCCGATGTGAAGTGAAGGGGGGTGTGCTCTCCTTCATCTGATAGAGCATGGGTTGATTACAGGGCCACCGCCGTCAGCTTAGTCCTGGAAAGCAGCCCTGGAGGTGTTTTATTCTGATCGGGGTCTCGTTGTTTCTCATCAACCCCGACGTCCCTCAGCGCTCAGGCCTGTGCTATGCGTGTGCAGTACGTTAGAGACAGAAATGCCGAGCAGCGCTGACACGCGGCTGAGGGAAAACGCAGAAAAGCCCGGTGACTGACCGCCTTGCCTCCCTCCCCAGCCGTGTCCTGCGGCGTCCCCGAGGCCCCGGGGAACGGCTCCTTCGCGGGGACCGAGTTCACCTTGGGCAGTACAGTCACGTACACGTGTGACGAGGGCTTCACGCTCGAAGGCAGCCAGCGAGCCACGGCCGTGTGCCGGGAAGACGGGTCCTGGAGCCACGGAGGGACGCCGCCCGCCTGCAAGCGTGAGTGGGGCCGGGTCCCCGTGGGGGGCTCCTGGGGCGGGGGTGCCCTGCGAGGGTCCAGCTCCAGCTGCAGGGGTCAGCACCTGTCAGTGCATCGGGAGGTTGCAGCCCACGTTCCCCGCAGAAACACACGCCCCACACACACACACCCACGTCCCGCACAAACCCTGCGACGATGAGAATGAGCCTCCTGGGGCTGGATGTAGTAGATGGGGCCTGTTGGTGCCTTGGTCCTGGACCGGGTGGGTCGGCCACAGAACCGAGCTGTCTGCCACTGAGTGTGGAGGCAGGGAATTGAGAGGAAACTGAGCCCCGCCGGTGTGGCTCAGGGGTTGAGCATTGACCTATGAACCAGGAGGTCAGGGTTCAATTCCAAGTCAGGGCACACGCCTGGGTTGTGGGCTCCATCCCCAGTGGGGGGCGTGCAGGAGGCAGCCGATCCATGATTTTCTCATCACTGATGTTTCTATCTCCCTCTCCCTCTCCCTCTCCTTTCCTCTCTGAAATCAACAAAAATATATTTTAAAAAATTGATAGATAGGGACGGAGTTAGGAAGAGAAGGAAAAATAACAATGAAATATTTGTAAAAATGTTAAAAAAAAAAGAAAAAGCAGAAACTGCACCGTGACCCCGGCGACCGCACCTAAGGAAACGCTGAAGCGTCCTCAGGTCTGCGTCCTCCGCCTCCTCAGTCCCCTTGGACTTCGGGTCTTGGATGTCCCGGCCGCTCCCGGAAATCAAACCCTGACCTCCTGGTTCATAGGTCAATGCTCAACCACTGAGCCACGCTGGCTGGGCCACACACACTTTTATAAACACGTGGCCGTGCCCTAACCCGTTTGGCTCAGTGGATAGAGCGTCGGCCTGCAGACTGAAGGGTCCTGGGTTCGATTCTGGTCAAGGGCATGTACCTTGGTTGCGGGCGCATCCCCAGTAGGGGGTGTGCAGGAGGCAGCTGATCAATGTTTCTCTCTCATCGATGTTTCTAACTCTCTATCCCTCTCCCTTCCTCTCTGTAAAAAATCAATAAAATATATTTTAAAAAATAAAATAAAATAAACACGTGGCCGTGGCACCTGCTTAAGTCAGGCATGACTGACGCGCAGAAAAAGTGAAAGGGCAGCACTGTTTGCAGGGAGAGAGCAGGGGGCCTTGCGAGGAGGGCGAGGCAAGCAGACACGAAAGGGAGAATCTGATCTTGCAGCGCAGGCCCTGAAGGGAGGCGAGTCAGGAAGAGTGGGGGGCCATTGCTGTAGACACCAGCGGCTCCCGGAATCCCCTATTCCGTCGTCTAAGCCAACAGCCATCCTCTGGGCAGAAGTAGGGTTTGTGGGAAGTCGTTTAGGTGACGAGCAACAATCACGTGGGTTCCAGAAGCGCGCTTTCAGGCCTGAAATGAATTTTACCCGACGCGTGTCCTGGGATGGGGGAGTCGTGGGTTTACTAAAGACTTTTCAGAAATGGCGGTTGTGCCTGGAACTCTGAAGGGGTTCCGGCTGGAGGAAAATCGTATTTATATGAGTAGGTAAAACGCTGGGATCGCCGTATGAATTTCGAATAACAGTTTTATCTAAAAAACATCCACAAGAAAGATTTGGGATGACTTTTAAATGTACAAATCCTTTTCCCATTTTAAACCTCATCGATAATATTAGAATACGAAAAGGCCTATTTATTTTTTCCAGTTTATTTGCACATAATACTGGTAACTTACGTAGAGAAGATTAAATGCGATATGTCTGGTTCGATTTTAATGAGCTTGTATAGGATTTTAAAAGTAAAATGTATTTCTTGGTATCCTGTAAAAACTTAGGGTGTCTCCAGCCAACTCTTCCAGGCCCGATAATTAACCAATCGGGTCAGTTTTGTGGGTGATGACTGTGGTGTTAACTCACATTTAGAGAAATGGGCTCTGGGCCTGATGGTGCGATAGCCATTTTAAACACGATCGCACTTTTCAGAAAATACCAGTCCTCGCATCCACGGGACGTTGCACACACTGTGTTGTCAGCGTCTGTGCAAATCCCTTGCAGTTGATGCTGGTGGTGACGCAGTGGCACGAGGAGGGCTACTGTCATTACTGCTGTCATCGCTGCTGAGGCTCCTAAGTCACCCCCAGAGCCTACCCTCCCCCCCCAGAGCCTCGGCCTCTGTCTCAGCACAAAGAGACGCCTCCTGTGACACCTGCTACACGTGCTCTGCTCGGTGATGGCACCGTGTGCACGTGACCTTCTCCAGCACGGGAATCCCCGGATGGGCAGCCCATGGCGCAGTGAGGGGCGTGGGGGGGAGGGCATGAGGGCGTCTCATTGTCCAAGAATCGGTGTCCACCTGCTTCCCCGTGACTCAGTCCCTAGCCCAGCTCCCTGGAGGGCATTGAGAGAAATAGGTGAACCGTGTCTTACACGCGTGTTCACTTACCGGAAGGGCATGTTCCTCTTCACATGAACCTGTGCCCTCGGGTCAGGGACTTCCCCTTCCTGGGGTCTCGCTTCAGGTCTCCCCAGCACGAGCCACGGGCCCTGGCGTGCATCGCCCACGTGAGAGCATCGAGTGACAGTCCTGGCACTGGCTTTCCCAGCGAGAGGGCTGGGAAGGAAGGTCTCTCCTCGGAAAAGCGGGCACGACCGGGCCGGGAGGGGGGAGGGGTGACGGGGGATGTGACTCTTTTCCAGCGGTCACCTGCCCGGGCATCGAGGCGCAGCTGGCGGAGCACGTCACCTGGAGGCTGGTGTCGGGGGCCCCGAATGAGTTCGGCGCGCAGGTGGTGCTGAGCTGCAGCCCCGGCCACTACCTGGAGGGCGCCCGGCTGCTGCGGTGCCAGGCCGACGGGACGTGGAGCGCGGGCGAGCAGCGGCCCAGGTGCAGAGGTGAGTGAGTCCCAGGCCTGCTCCGGCCGCCCCGCCCCCCGAGTCACGCCCCCAGGGGCTTGGATCCCACAGAGCAGGGTGGGAACCCTTTTTCCCGCCACGGCCCCTGTGGATATTTATAGCATCCGAGGGGCATACGGCATCGCCCGCTTAAAAGTGAGCCTGCTCTATCCGACCCAGCGTTCCATTAACCTGCCCCTGGCGCTCTGGCCTTCACAGGCCTTCGGCGGCCCCCGGACATCCCCACCCCTGCTCTAGCTGAACCCAGTGGCATCTCATTGCACTATAATGAAGACGGTGTCTGGCGATGTGACAGACTAAAGCACGTGCCGCCTTTCCCTTGCTGACCACCAGTTTACTCGCGTTAGAAGGCTCCCATCGGCCAGGGTTTCCGAGCAGCACGGAACGGAGCCCAGGTGATGCTAGAAAGACGCTGTCCCCCACGGGGACGGCCCACACTCTGACGGGACCTGGGCAGCGGGTTTGTGCTTCGGATCCTGTGTTCCCCCATCGCAGCCGCCTCCCAGGGGGTCATGATGCTCGTAGGCGCCAGACAAGCAGGACCTGGAGGTGGTTTCACAATAAATGAGAATAAACAGAAAAACACACAATATTGCTGTTGTTCAGAGCATGACTCGATTCCGTCACCCGGGACACAGTCTCCAGCGACTGTCCCCAGGAAGCCCTCGCACAGAAACCAATCCAGACAGGACAGACTCCGAGCGCAGCTGAGCGAGGGCACCCGGGATGAGCGTGGGAGAGGAGGGAGTCAGGGCAGTGGGGGCCTCCGATGCCAGCAGCCAGCGCCTGGCGGGCACCAGGGTCCCCGAGAACGCAGCGGAGCTGGGCTTGCGAAGGGGAGGAGCCACTTAGTGAATCCGGGTAGAAGCTCCGGTGAGAGGGGCCGCAGCCAGGCCTTCCATGGTGTCGGCAAAGGCTGGTCCTGTCTCCTGCGGGCGGGCTCTCCTGCCCGGGGCTCCTTCCTCACTCACATAGCAGGTAGGGCCAGCGCACCCCTGCCCGCCGGCGGGCCCCGTCACCCTGCGGCTGGAGCTAGGCTTCCGCTCCACCGGGCTTTCTTCACGACCCAGGGGGCTCCATGGAGGACGAACTGAACAGGCCACCCCCACAGTTTCAACAGCCGCCGGGAGGGCAGCATGGACCAGAGCGGTGAGCCGTCCTATCCAGCGCTGACCAGGCGTGCCAGGCCTGGGAGAGGGGGTGTCAGACCTCCCGCTGTTCCACACGTTTCTGACCAACCCTGACGTTTAAAACACCGTCCGATGAGGTCCCGCTGTGTTTGGGAAAAGGCTGAAAGAAAGGTTCATGAGACACTGTGAAAGCTACATCCCCGTCGAATGCATTGACACTTGGCTCAGCAAACACGTTGGCAATATCACCAAATGCCCGGCTGTGACCGGCGAGAGCTCGGCATCCCAGCGGGCGGTGCCCTGTGGACGCCATCTCCACCCCAGTAACGTGTGATGGATTCGCTCTAGAGCACAGCTTCCCCGTGCCTGGCGAGCGGCCCGAGCCTGCGGTGGCTGGCTGTGTGCCTGCTTGTCCACTTCAGATGGAACCAGGGCGTCACATCTGGGAGAAAGGCCGCCTGTTTCCAAGGCTGGTCCACATGGCACACGCATCCATTTCTCTTCGTGATTTCTCTTCGTGGGATTCACCAGTAAAGGTCTGCACACATTTCATTCAGGTCTGACCAGGTCCTGAGAGGTTAGTTCCCTGAATGAGCCCGGACACATGCAGGCTCTGCTGTGCCCACTCAGCACACGTGTCCTCTCCACGAGCCCGGACCACGTGCAGACACCGCTGTGAGCACTCAGCACACGTGTCCTCTCCACGAGCCCGGACCACGTGCAGACCCCGTTGTGAGCACTTAGCACACGTGTCCTCTCCACGAGCCCGGACCACGTGCAGACCCCGCTGTGAGCACTCAGCACACGTGTCCTCTCATGAGCCCGGACCACGTGCAGGCTCTGCTGTGAGCACTTAGCACACGTGTCCTCTCCACGAGCCCGGACCACGTGCAGACCCCGCTGTGAGCACTCAGCACACGTGTCCTCTCATGAGCCCGGACCACGTGCAGACACCCCTGTGAGCACTCAGCACACGTGTCCTCTCATGAGCCCGGACCACGTGCAGACCCCGCTGTGAGCACTCAGCACACGTGTCCTCTCATGAGCCCGGACCACGTGCAGACACCCCTGTGAGCACTCAGCACACGTGTCCTTTCCACGAGCCCGGACCACGTGCAGACACCCCTGTGAGCACTCAGCACACGTGTCCTCTCCACGAGCCCGGCACACAACCTGGGGCAGGGCTCGTAGGTGTCGCCCTTTCGACAGGGACTTTTTTCAACAGTAATAAAGGAGTTGTTTATTTTTAAAATATAACAATTTTAATTATTTATACACCTAAGAAGGAAGCTTCAAAATACATTCAGCAGAAACTAGTAGAATGGTGTGCCGCTCCAGCACGGCCAAGGGTGAGCCTGAGGAGGGGCAGTGAAGGATTAAAGAAGACAGACAGAGAGAATACAGCTGGGGCTCAGTGGACCTCCCGTGCCTGGATGAGGACACAGAAAGACCCAGCCTGCAAGCCGATGCTTTATTTTATAGTCTGATTAAAACAAGGGTAGATGAACACGTCTACAAATGTTCTTGTGTTGACAACACTTGCTGCACCTCCCACAGCCCATTAGCTACTTGGGAAGGAATTAGGGAGGGCTACAGGTCAGGCTTAATTGTGCTAGGAGAGCTCTGCCCTCCAGGCTGGGACTTGTTTGTGGCCCTGCCACAGGTCAGCCCGAGGCTTAATCCTAGAGCCGCTCCCTACAGAAGGGTAAGGAGAATGGACCAATTTAAAATTACAGTCACAGAGTTCAGACTTTACTCTGAGCAGTGCAGGAAGCAGGTGGGCAGGACATCAATAGGATGCCGATTTGGAGCACAGCACTGTTGGATTCGACCTCATTGGCATTGACGGATGGTTCTCCTAGCAAACAGTGAAGTACACATGTTCTCTCAATCCCCATAGAACATTCTGGAAGAGGGTGGTCTCTCTCGGCAAGGGGTCTCCCTCCCTGGACCACAAACAGGAGCTGACTCATCTCCAGACACATCAGCATCAGCGGGACCCAAGGATGTAACAGCCAGGCCCTCGCTGCACTAGGCCTGGAGGATGTAACAGCCACGCCCTCGCTGCCCTAGGCCTGGTACCCACCTCCCAGGACGGGCTTCCCGGCCCCGAACACCCTCATCTGTTGTTTATTTCAGGGGTTCTCCCCACAGGAGTCGGGAGTTGGGAGGGAAGTCAGCCTTTGATAGGCGACCCGGGAGACGGGGGGAGATTGGCCCAGCGTCCCAGCTGGTGACCCGCCCAGCGAGCTGAACCTGGGAGCCTGCAGCCAGGAGCTGTGCTCTCGCCTCCCTGTGTGACTGCCTCCTGTCGGTTGACTGTTCACACAGACTCAATCATGTCTAGCTCCTCGCCAGCCCTGCCCCCAGCCCTGTGCCCCGCGTGACTCCAAGCGGCATTTCAAACCTCCCGTTCTCACCTGTTCATGCGTGTTCGCCCCTGGTGAGCGGTGGCCCCGGGAACCTGGCGATGTCTTTGGCCGTGAGACTCCACGCCTCCCTGTGCTCACACACGTGCAGGGAGCAGGGTGTGTGTTCACTGCCTACACTGAATCCAGCTCCCACGGGCGTGGCCGTGAGGTGCACATGGCACCCGCGATGACTCTGCTGGGAAGGCGGGTGTAGCTGGATACACATGCCTCTCTCTCCAGCCACCCAGGGGCCAGACTGTGTCGTTTTTAATTGTGAGGAAGACTCCACGTGCCAGCTGTCCAGGCAGCAATGCTGTGGGCTCAGGATCCCAACAGATCACGCCTGTGAATGAGTGAATGAGCGCTCCGTCTGCCGCGGGGGCGGACGTCCTGGGCCGTCATCCCACGCTGCCTGGTCCTGGCGCGTTGACGGAGAGGCTGTTCTCCATCCCCCTGGGCCCACATCGGCACCACCCCCCCGACTATCACGTGGGCCTCGTGCCTGGTACAGACAGGGAGGTGGACAGGATGCCCGTGCGGGTGGCAGAGGGGCTTCTGTGTGAATAGGTGGGTCTCATGGGTATTTTTTCAAGAAAAGCTTAGCTGCTTGGTGAGGATGAGACCATAGCAATGGGCCTGGAAGAACCTAGAAGATTCTGGAATCCACTCCAAACATTCACGCTTCCTTGTCAGGGACATAAGAGAAGGGAAATGAAGCTCCCAGCTGGTTGCCTACCCACCCTGAGCGGACAGAACCCCCGCCCTGGTCTCGGTGAGAACCAGGACTGACGATGTTCACCGTAAGCCGAGCAGCTCTGGAGGCGCGGTGGCACTCACTTTATTCTCGCTTTCCTTGTAGTAATCTCATGCGGAAGCCTGTCCTTCCCCCCCAACGGCAACAAGATCGGGACGCTGACCGTGTACGGGGCCACGGCCATATTCACGTGCAACACGGGATACACGCTGGTGGGGTCCCACGTGAGAGAGTGCCTGGCGAGTGGGCTGTGGAGCGGCGCCGAGACGCGGTGCCTGGGTACGTGCCCCCCCCCCCCCCGGGGCTGGTTTACTTAGTGACCTGAGGGGGAAAGGGAGGGCTTCCCACTGTGAAGGCTCGGCCAGCGGCCACTCAGCTCCCCCCGGGCTTCCGGCTGCGCTCACTGCATGACGCTCACACAGGGACGTTCTCACCTCTGACCATACCTGTGACCTTCTCCCACCGCTCAGATGTGAGGAAGGTGCCCAGAGTGATGTAAACACTATTTGCAGGTCACTGGGGCTAGCCCTGTGCTCAGGATGTAGGGCGCGTGGAAATGAATTTCGAATGTGCGCCTTTAAGGATTATAAATTACCTCAACAAGTTACAGGGGCGTCCTGTCACCCAGTGTGAGCACAGTGGACTGTTTAAAATGGCAGGTGTGCGCGATGACTTGGTCTTCTTTTCCCAAGATTAGAAGTGTCGGCAGGATGATGTGTAAACTGAGCTGCACACCCTTCCCTGGGGAAGCCTTCCCAGTGACCGTAACCTTGTGACCACGCAGCGTGGAGTCTGGGGGCCCCGGATGCTCCCTGTGGGTCTCCGCGAGCTGAGGGGATGGGTGAGCTGCCTGCAGACCCCGTGATCTCAGTGACGTTCCGTCACGTGAGCCGCAGAGGCTGAGAGTTTGAGCCTCTGGCTGTCCGTGGCTGGGACCGCGCTGGGGGTGTTGTGATCGTTATAAGTATGTGCTTTTCACTCCGGAGAACTTGTAGAAAGACCGGAATTGGAAGACAGGACAGAAGGAAAGTAGGTAGTGATGCCAGAGCAGCCACCAGAGAAAGACGGCTTCGGTGTCTGGGAAATGACACTGTCGTCTCTAATTTCCAGGCCGAGACGAGGGATTCTTGAACCCTGTGTGTGGGTCCAGACCAGGGGTGGGGAGCCTTTTTCCTGCAAGGGCCACTTGGGTGTTTACAGCATCATTCACAGGCCATGCAAAATGACCCACATAAAAATGAGCCTGCCCTGTTGGGTCAAACGTTTAATTAACTCATGCTTACTGCCTTGGCAGGGCCAGACCAAATGGTTTCACGGGTCTTATGTGGCCCGTGGGCCAACGTTCCCCTCCCCCACCCCACCACCCCCGTCTATGCGTTCTTGTTGGGCCTCATCATTACAGGTGGCCTTCCCTGGGACTGTGTGGTGCCCCGCAGTCGGGATGGCCGTGGCTCTGGGATTGTCTGCGCTTTCCTACATGTTCTCATGAGATCGTCCGTTCACTGAGCAGCGCTCTCCTCAGCGCGGCCACGGGCTGGGTGGGTCTCCTCTGTCGGCTGCAGTGCCCTGGCCCGGGACGGAGAAGGGGTTTGGGGTCTAAGAAACGTGCATCTGCACTATCAGCTGTAATGATGGAGAGAAACAAAGTTCAATCCCAGCAGAGCCTTCGCTGCGGACACAACCCCTGTCCATCGTCACGGTGACTAGGATGCGGGTGAGGCAGAGGCTGTGGCCTCGGGGAGTTTAAGCCACACAGTCCGTTTGCAAACCTGTTAGATCGTGGCTTCCCCTCGAGTCTTATTGACCCCAAAGACCCCTTTGCCTGTTTTGTTTTGTGTTTAAAATATTTTCATTGATTTCAGAGAAGAAGGGAGAGAGGGAGAGAGAGATAGCACATCAATGATGAGAGAGAATCATTGACCGGCTGCCTCCTACATGCCCCCCACCGGAGATCGAGCCCACAACCCAGGCATGTGCCCTGATTGGGAATTGAACCTGTGACCTCCTGTTCATTGGTCAACGCTCAACCCCGGAGCCACGCATGCCGGGCTTCTCTGCCTTTCATGGTGTCTGCCTGCAGGTTAGGCTCTGGAAGGGTGAGGAGTATATTGAGTTGTTGTCTTGACCTCAATGGGATGGACGCTACAGATCTTAGAAGCTTTGGCAGAGGGAGTGCTCAGAAGGCACTTAAACTGAAAATGAAGAGGAAGAAGAGCACCCATGTTGTCACGTAGAATCATTGTGTTGTGGAACTTGGACACAGCATGTAAGCGACGATAATATCGAAGGAGGCACAGGGTCATTAAAAGACAAAAATTAGAAAGAATGAGAAGTGACACATGACCACATGTTTAGAAACCGATGAGCAAAAAGAATGGGCAACACATTTAGTATAAATATTTTATGAATAGAAATATTTTAAAAGTAAATGTAGCATCACGGCGGCCACTGAGATTGCGGCGTTAAGATTCACAATGCCACGGTGAGGGCCTTTCCATTCTCTCCCAAACGATAGGTTGCTCGTGGGTCGGTGACCAAGTGTCACCAGCAAACACGCACACGGAAGCAGAATGGGAATGTGGGGGGAGGGCGGGGGGAGGGCCCGCAGGTGGGGCAGGTGACGTGCCGTGAGGGGGGAGAAGACTCCAAAGTGCTCAGAAGACAGAGGGAGGGAAGCTCCCATCCCAAATCTGCAGGAGAGTTGATAGAACGGAAGAGGGGCCCATGGAAGCGGGGGTCCCTGGTCCCTGGGGAGACGGGTTCTCGGGCCACGGAGGGGCCTGCACAGAGCATTGATGTATTTGATTAATTGATTTGATTTGATATTTTGTTTCTAAGCCTGGGCTGGCCTCCTCTGGATTTCGCTTCCCCTTCATTTTCTTCCTTTCCCTGCGGTCAGCAGGTTTTCTTACCCCCTTGCTCCTGTCTGTGCTCAGGGGAATGACAAGGGGCTGCACCCAAGGAACGGACGATGCGGAGCCGAGCGGGGGTGCGCCAGGCAGGAGCCAGAGATGAAGACAGGCCCCCCCCCCCAGGAGATGGGGGACTTGGTCCTAGAGCCCTGGCGTCCGAGACTTTAAAAATAAATAACATTTGTCACTTCCGTGACCGGGAGGCCTCTCCCCCCCACCCCCCCACCCCGGGCCTGGCTGGCAGCGTGTGTCCTGCAGGCCTGGGGGCGCCTCTCTCGGGGTTTCGGGCGCCGAGTGCGGCCGTGTGTCCCTCCCGCTCCATCTCATTCTCTCCATGTTAGACCCTCAGCTCCCTTCCCTCTGTGATTGCGTCTCATTCTCCATGGAGTCTCCGGCCCCCAGAACATTGCTGGGCTGCGGCCGGTCATCATTCAATCATTGTCGGGTAAATGGCAGTCACCTTGGAGAGAATGGCGTAGAAATGCTCGAGAACATGAAGGCCGTCACCGATAGCGTGAAATTACGTCTGCTCCCTCCCTGGCGTTTCATGGGTGACGGGTGGGTGTCAGACATGGGCGGAAGCGTGAATATAGGCCCGTGGCGTCTACGGGAGACGCAGAGCAGTGCTTTCTGCGTGGGGCGTCTATGGCAAAACCAGGGCTAGAGGAAGAGTTTAAACAGACCAGGACATAGCGTGACATAGCGTGACATGGTCACCGAAGAGCAGGATCTGATGTGCAGAGGCTTGGGGCCGCACTGCTGGGCCGCACTGCAGGCAGCTGTGCCCCCCCCCCCCCCCCCCCCCCGGCACTGGGGCGGGTCGCCCGAGACGCTGGCTAATGCTGTGAGCGAGACTGTGGAAATGCTGTATCTGTGAGTAGCCTGGGCTTGGTCGAAGGCAGCGGTTTTCACCCCGTGGCCACACGCACGTTTATACCGTGTGACGCCTGCCTGTTCGGTAGGGCCCGGAGCTCTGTCCTGTGATTGTCAAATAGGGAAGTGACACCAGCCGGCCCCCAGCAGCACCCGGGGTGAAGGGCTCAGAGCTGCACCTGTTGGGTTGTCAGGTCGGCAAAAGAGATGCTATTTGGAGTGCGGCAGGGTCTTAGGGGTGAGTGAGGGCCGGGGGTGAGGAAGTTGACAGTCACTGGTCTGAGTGTTTTAAAAGGAACGCAGCTGAGGGCTGGAGCGACACCTCGGAGGTGGGTCAGGAGGCCAGCAGCGCGGCCAGGCCGGGGTCTCCGTCCGCCCCATCCGTCCGTCCGTCCGTCCGTCAGCCTCAGGAGAGCTGACACCCCTGGGCCTCCTTCCCGGGCTCTGCTTTCCGCTCGCCGGGGTCTCCGTCCGCCCCATCCGTCTGTCCGACAGCCCCAGGAGAGCTGACACCCCTGGGCCTCGTTCCCGGCACCGCTCGCCGCCATGGACGCGTACTGGACACCAGTCATCTTCTCACATCTCAGACCCTTCCTGTCACGGGTCTTCCCTCCCCCAACTACTAACCTGCACCCGATTCATCTCGGGCGTCTCCTCTCCTACGAGCGGGGCCACCTGCAGCCTCACCCCCTCTGGCCTTGTTTCCCGTGAATCAGCTCGGGGCGGGCACTCCCTCCCCCGGGCCCAGAGGTCACTTATCCACTGGCCACTCCCGCTGTCACCTGGACGTTGGCCCAGGCTGTCCGTGTCTGAAATGGAACCGATGTTGTGACTCTGTCTGTCCGTTGGAATCTTGCATAACGTTTAGCAATCTCTGGCCTGGGATCCTTGTCCTTGGCCGTCTCTTTAAGGCCCGTTTTCCGTGCGTCCGAGCCTGTTCACATGGAGCCCACGGCCCTTCCTTTCTGTGGCTGCATTTGGAAACAGAAGAACAAGGTCACATGGACTTCAGGCAAGGACAGTGGGTAACACGACTAACTCGGAAACCCATAGCGGGGGTGACCCATGGACAACTTCATCTCGGAGATATTACTTCTGTCGCCCACAGTCGTTGAGAAATACGAACACGTTAAAAAGAAAACTGTATCCAAGAAACATGAAAAGGGAAACATTGAATACATTACGCACCCAATGCTGTCATTCCGCTGACCATGAAGGTCAACAAAGGTGAATGTAGTGCTTTTAGCAAAGACAGATTTTGGCCTGGGCCCGGCCGGTTGAGCACCGACCTATGAACCAGGAGGTCACGGTTTGATTCCCGGCTGGGGCACCTGCCCGGGTTGTGGGCTTGACGCCTAGTGTGGGGTATGCATGAGGCAGCCAATCCATGATTCTCTCTCATCATGGATGTTTCTATCTCCTTCTCCCTCTCTCTCTGAAATCAACACAAATATATTTAATAAATAAACAAACAAACAAATAAATGTTTAAAAGACAGAGTCTCCGGAACATGGGTGTGGGTTTTCTCGCCCCTGCAGCCGGCCACTGCGGCTCCCCGGACCCCATCGTGAACGGCCACATCAGCGGCGACGGCTTCAGCTACAGGGACACCGTGGTGTACCAGTGCCACGCCGGCTTCCGGCTGGTGGGCACCTCCGTGCGGATATGCCTGCAGGACCACAAGTGGTCGGGACAGACCCCGGTGTGTGTGGGTGAGTTCGCTGTCCCGGGCCGGCCGGCGCTGCACCGTGCCTTTTGGGTTTAAGCCAGGGCGCAGAGGTGGGTAATCTTCTGAGCGAAATGATGGAGAAATCTCCTGAAACGGGCCATCCAGCTCTCTCTCCTCTTTGCTTCCCGATGCTGTCCCCACTCTGTGTCCTCCCCCTGCCTCCTCGGACTCCTGTCCACAGGGTACTGGCTCCTCGGCTCCCCGGCGATGGGTCCCAGGACACTGAGGGCCGTGTGCACCTCCTGACCCCACCCCCCGCGAATGTGGACTCAGAGGCTGAGCTTGCAGCTCCGGCTGTCTCTGCCGGGCCCCCACACAGCCCCACCCCCTCTATCTGCGGGGTGGTTTTGTGTGTTTGTCATCCATTCATCGAGAATACAGAGCGCAGTCCTTTCTTTAATAGAAAGAGGTGAATTGTATGTAATGATAGTCCTCAGACGTGATAACCTCACAGGTAAATATTGACTCATACGTGTAGAAGAGATTGCACCCTCACTGCAGAGTTTGTTTTAAAGCATTTCCCCCTGACATACTCTTTATTAAAGGGCATGTTGATGTAACCACAGCGAGGTGGCAGGCATTATCTGAGAGAGTGCAGAGGGCGAAAGCTTCGCTTGGAAGAAAACATTGTTGACAAGATAAATGGGGAGAAAACACCAGTTTTCGGGCTGGAACGCTGCCTTTGGAAGGCTCTTTGTGCTCCTGTGACTCGTGACCTGACGTAATGACAGCTCTCTGCAGCCCACAGAGCCACACAATGGGCTGGTCAGAGACAACGCAATTGGAGCTTTCACACTTTTCTCTCTTTGTTCTTTTTTGGCCAATTTCATGATGTTTAAATTGATATTGGATTAATTTATCCATACACAATTTAAAGCATCAGACAAGTCCCTATAATATTTCAAAATCAGAGTTCCACCAAATTAGCCGGTGTTCAAAGGGGAGAACAGTCAAAACTCACAATGAGTGCAAGAATTTTAGCATCTCGTGTTTTCACTGCCGCCTTTGAAAATTACTTGTTATGCTGTCAGAATGTGAGCTAGAAATAATAATTACTATGATTGTGGAGAAGGTACATTTTTCTGATGTGGTTTCCAGAATTACTGTAATAAAACCCGAGGGCTCAGCCTGCGGGGTTGTCCCAATATTTCCTTCTGATAGAATGTGGGACGTGTGGCATCAGTTCACACCCTGGAATCCACACCCTCCACACCTGCATGTGTGTCAGTGACGTGATGACTTGCTGGTTGGCAATGGTGACGGGGACCTGTCTCCCTCTGCAGCCATCACCTGCGGGCACCCTGGGAACCCCGCCCACGGGCTCACCAATGGCAGCCAGTTCAACCTGAATGACGTGGTGAACTTCACCTGCAACACCGGCTACGTGCTGCAGGGGGCGCCGCAGGCCCAGTGTCGGAGCAACGGCCAGTGGAGCAGCCCCCTGCCCACCTGTCGAGGTAGGAAATGGGGGGGGAGCCTGCCCTGGAGGTGCAGAAGGGCTTCCCGTCGCTGGAGACGCTCCTGAGAGCAAGGACCTGGTCCCTCCCGGCCTGTGTCTGGCTGTGGGACAGGCCGGCAACCAGAAAAAACCTGGGGTTCTCTACTTTAAGCACAGCGCACCTCCCATTTCTCTTCGTATTCATGCGCTCACCCGCTTGCCGCTACCACATCTTTTCAGCACCTCTGTGCCCTCAGGCTTCTAGACGTATGTGGCGTTTCTGTTTCTTTAAGAAATCCTTCTTGCTTTTAAATCTTCATTTCTCTAAAAATTGTCACAAAGATCTAGGCGACAGTCTGAGTTTCCGAGCACATGCTGTTTTGTAGTTTTGTGTTTCTAGACGTTTGAGCTCATAACATTGAAGGTTTCAACTTCAGTTACTTCCCATTAAAACACCCCTGATGGAAGGTGAGTCATACGTGAGCGTGAAGGTGCGGTTTGTTTCAAGGTAGTGACGGGATGAAAGCCGGGGGCTCATGAATTACCCTTGACACCCACCCACCTCCCCCAGGGCTCCCAAGGAGGCTTTGTTCAAAGGAGACGAAGCAGAAAGGGAGCCCAGCGATGTTATAGTGGCAGCCGTGTGACGTTGGCTACGAGCCATGGAGTTCTGGCCCCAGTGTACCGCCCAGTGCTTGGCTTCAGCTCAGAGACCAGGTACAGCCTCCCAACCCCACGGCCCAGGAAGCAGGCTGCCAGGGCCAGGATGTCCAGGGAGGAAGCAGAGGCACCGGTGAAACTCGGCACTCACTGACGCAGCCCAGAGCAGAGGGGGCGCCCTCGGGCGACAGGGAGGAGCTGGACGCAGCCAGACCTGCCACTGTCCTGAGGGCAGCGTTTCCGGCTGTGGCGTCAGTGCCGGGCCAGCCAGCACCCAGGGAGAGCTTACTGTTTAAAACAAGGAAACAGGTCACTTTCCCTCCCAAACTACAGTCTTTCTCTTCCTGTTCCTCATTCTTCTTCCGTGTCCCTGAGCATTAAGGAACATAGGCCTAATGTGCTGATCGAGGGCTCACATTGTTTTTCCACATTGACTTTCTGGGCCAGAGATCTGTGGAGAGGGTGCTGCCTCCACAGCAGCAGCTGCCTCATCCATACGGGGACGGGGTCAGAGGGCGAGATAATCGGGGGACTTTCTGTTCCCCTGCACCTGTGGGTGCACATTGCACATCTCTCCCGATGCCAGCAGATTCAGGCTGCCAGAGAGCCATTCACACCCACCAGGGTGCCATTCACACCACCCAAGGCACCATTGACACACCCCAGAGCTCTATTCACACCACTCAGCGTGCCATTCACACTTCACAGAGCACCATTCACACTACCCAGGGCGCGATTCACACTCCACAGAGCACCATTCACACCACTCAGCATGCCATTCACACTTCACAGAGCACCATTCACACCCACCAGGGTGCCATTCACAACACTCAGGGTGTCATTCACACTCCACAGGGCTCCATTCACACCACCCAGCACACCATTCACACACCCTAGGGCACCATTCACATTCCACAGAGCTCCATTCAAACCACCTAGGGTACCAGTCACATACCCCAGGGCACCATTCACACTCCACAAAGCTCCATTCATACCACCCAGGGTGCCATTCACACTCCCCAGAGTTCCATCCTCACTGCCCGGAGCGCCATTCACATTAGGCGCACGTGGAAGCTCTCCTGTGTGCAGGTGAGGTAATTAATTACTTACAAAGACTGCCCTAAAGCATCACACTTGGTGGAGGGAAATACAGTGGGGCCTTGACTTACGAGTTTAATTTGTTCCGAGACCGAGCTCATTAAGGAGCTTGTTAAGGAGCTCGTTAACTCAAATTACTCTGTCAACTCAATGCAAAAAATTGGCCGAGAGACAGCTGGTATCTCAAAAAACTCATTAGTCGGGACACTCGTAAGTCAAGGCCGCACTGTATTTAAATAAATGAACTTTTGCGGGTTCTTTGCTAACATCTTCATAACATAAAACTTAACCATGAAAACCAATCCTAGACTTTCCGTTGAAGAAGCCTGTTATTAGGAAATAGGTCAAGGAAATGAGCTGTGGATTTCATCGAGGGAGGAGAATTGTGTGAAGTACCTTGGCCCTGCTGGCGTTATCTTTGAACTTTCTGAAACAACGGCGAGTTTCCTTCTCTTCACACCTGTTTTGTGTGTGAACGTGCAGCCGCCTCTGGGCGTGGGAGGAGGTCCTGCATCCGAGTCTCTCAGGCTCCTCTCATCTCTCCAGTGGTCAACTGCTCGGACCCTGGCTCCGTGGACAACGCCGTCCGCCAGAGCGTCCCCGAGAGCCTCGTCTATGGGCGGACTGTCGTCTACCACTGCAAGAAGGGCTTTTACCTGCTGGGCTCGTCCGCCTTGACCTGCACGGCCAGTGGCTTGTGGGACCGCTCCCTCCCCAAGTGCTTGGGTACGTGAGGGTGATGTGGGGTGCTGGTGCCACAGAATCCGGGAAGAACGTCAACAGCACAAATGTTATTGTTTCATTTTGTCACGTAGTCAAATAGGTCTTGATTTTTCACTCTCTCTATCCCCCAAGTCCCCAGGCACGGGTAGTCAGTAGGATGTCTTACCGATGGGCAGGAGGTCACACACTACAGCTCAAGCTGGGTTAGGGGGATAAGGGTGAGGATGCTGGCTGCTCACCGCCTGGCCAAGGGGGGAAATGGACACAGAAATGGACCCACTGGGCCTTGTTGTTCTGATCTGTGTTCACACTGCTCGTCTCCTGCTTCACCCCAGCGGACACGGTCAGACCTGGCGGCCTCAATGCCCTCCGCCTCTCACTGCTCTCTGCGGAGACCCAGTGTCAGGAATATTGGCCGAGGTCTGGTACGGAGGGTCAGGCTAGAGACCTCCTGCCTGTGACCAGGGGGGGCAGTGACTCTAGGGACTGACTCGGGTCTTGTGAGCATCTCTGGTCCAGTCAATAGTCAACACAATAGGACAGGTGGTCCCTCGGACAGTCCTTCCCCTGACCCACCTGGGTGTTTAAATCGGGGGGAGCACACCGCTCTGAAGAAGGGGAACACAAACCAAAAGGTAGGTCCCCACTCTAGCCCCCGGAAACACGATGGTCACTTTACCGTAGACCACGCAGATGAACAAAAGCACTGTTTAACCTACATAGCTCCAGTTTTACCTCCTTCTCCTTGTGTCCTCGAGCTGAACGAGGATCACCTGGTTAGAACATGGTCTGAAAATTAGGAAAAGGGGTGGCTCTCCCTGGGTTTTAAAAAACAGTCCAATGAGTAGCCTGTCTTCCTCATGTTCATTCGTCAGCATGTGCATGGACACAGCGGGAGCAGTGTTATGAGCTGCATCAGGGGACGCGGCCGCGGAGGGCCTCTTACCACTTATAACGGTGGCATTTCCTGCGTGTCCAGATGGATTGGGGCTGGGGTTTCCCGGCAAGTCAGCGTCCCACGCAGCCCCTTCCGACCCATGTGGGCACGTGTCCCCGGTTCCCGCTGTGGCCAAAGGGTCGGTTTCCGGGGGAAAGAGAGGGGTCGCTGGAACACAAAGGCACAGCCTCACGTGACCAATGCCCTTCAGTATCACCGTATCAGCATCTCCACCCAATGGCGTCCGCTTTTTCCGCCTCCACACCGGGGTTTGGGCAGAGAAGGTCGTGTCTTTCCTTCTCCTCCCCGAGCATCCCCTTGAGCCCTCTGTGGCTCCCAGGGGACACCCTGTGTCCGTACCGATGCCTGTGGCCCCTCAGCTGCAGGAACCAGGTTCTCCCCAATTCTGGGCCTCTGGGGGCTGCTCCCCGCCTGTGCAGGCAGGAGCGTGGGAACCCCCGTGGGTGTAGGGCAAGTGCAGAGAGCCTCCTGCCTTTCCACGCTCTGCGGCAGCGAGGCTCTGCTGGCCTCCTCTCCTTGATTCTTTTTCTCTCTTATTCACCGGGAACTGGTCCTTTAGCGACCATGTTACTGATTCGGGTCAAATTAGCTTCTTTTCAGGACACTCTCTAGATCAAACTGTGTTCTCCAACCAAAGGCCATGTTGTTGGCCCAAGACAGCAGCCAGGGTCCATCCGGGGCCGACGTGGCCGGCTGACCGATGCCTCGTGGCTGACTGACTGATGCCTCCCGCTGGGCTCACATCGGGCTGCCCGTGGCCACAGGCAGTCCCTCTCGTGGCCGTCAGTGTCTTTGAATGCTGTGCCCAGAGCTGACTGCAGGCAGCATGCAATGTGTCCATTGTGCACCCCACTGCGGGACTTGATCGGAAGGGAGAGAGAAGTCCCTGTCATCCCGTCTTAATCTGGCATCCAGATATGGCTTTCTGAGGGAGAATTAATGAATAATTAATTGGTCTAATTTTAAGAAAGTGAATGGGAATACTGACATTATTGTACAGAATAACTTGAAGAACAAATCAATCGGTAATTTATTATTATTACTTTACTTAAACATGTTATTTTATTATTTTATTATTATCCTCAGCCAAGGATATTTCCCCACTGCTTTTTAGAGAGAGTGGAAGGGAGGGGCAAATGAGTGAGAGAGAGAAACATTGATGTGAAAGGGACACATTGACTGGTTGCCTCCCACACCTGCCCAACTGAGGGCGGGAGCGAGCCCACAACCCAGGTATGTGCCCTTGACTGGGAATCGAACCCGAGACCCAGCACTCTAACCACTGAGAGTACTGGCCAGGGCCAACTTAAACCTTTTAGACCCTCCCCACTCCACGGGCGGGTGTTGGGGTGCCTTCCTGGACTCGAGAGCTCGGGGGGAGCATATTCGAGGTCTTTCCCGCCGGCAGTGGGTCACCTGCCTGAGACCAAGGGGAAGCAGCTCTGAGGGAGCCACGCTGGCCACAATGTGTGGGATGGCCCTGCTGGTGTGGGAAGCCGTGAAGGGCCGACGGGCAGTGTGACCTGGGGGAACTCCCTTCTGAAAACCTGAGTGTGAATGTGCACCCCAAGCACAGCGACCCTGATCTAAGATTCCCAAAAACCCTCACTGACGAGCCTTTCCTGGTGTCTGCAGCCCCTGCCCTGGGGAGGGGAGCGAGTGTAGTAACAGCGTGCTCTCGCGGGCGGGGACGAGCAGGGAGGAGCCCATCATTTCATTCATCTCCTCAGCCATATCCTGTGGGCACCCGGGCGTGCCCGCCAACGCCATCCTCACGGGGGACGTGTTCACGTTCGGGGCCACGGTCCACTACTCCTGCCAAGGGGCCCGCAGCCTGGTGGGCGACCACAGCCGCGTGTGCCAGGAGGACGGCCACTGGAGCGGGGCCCTGCCCCACTGCACAGGTGAGCGCCGGCGGCGGGAACTCGGGGTCGGAGCAGCTGCTTTAAAAGGATGGTTAGTGGGTGTCCAGCCAACGACGCCTTCATTCTGTACCAGCCCCATGTTCTTCCTAATCTCCATGAGCGCCCACGGGCCCACCGTCCTGTCCCGGCGCCCAGGGCCTCATGGTGCCCGGTTGTCCGGCTGGTGGCTTCGGCCCCGTGAGTCCCTCTCTGCTCTTTGTCCCTTTTCTGTGTTTCTTCCGAATCCTCCCACGTCTCCCCTGCCTCTCTGTTGGATAATCACATTGGTCTTCCCCCCAAAAAAGTAATCGTCTTAATTCTTCCACAAATGTTTCTTAAATAAATAAAACTCGGGAATCAGCAACCCGGGACGCAATTTGAAGAGCCCGATCTGGCACGTGCCTGACCTCCGCATCCCCACTGCGCGCGAGCCCACGCCCTGTGCATTTACACTGCGCTTCCCCACGGAGCCCCGCACCCTCCCAGCGTGTGACCTTCCCACGGCCACCACGGCCAATGGGACCACACCCAGTAGACTGTGGTGGTGTTAGTTACACAAGAACAGTTTGTTTATTTTTTAATATATTTCTATTGACTTCAGAGAGGAAGGGAGAGGGAGAGAGAGGAGAGAGAGATAGAAACCTCAATGATGAGAGAGAATCATGGATCGGCTGCCCCCTGCATGCCCTACACTGGGGATCCAGCCCACAACCCCGGGCCTGTGCCCCGACCGGGAACCAGACTGTGACCTCCTGGTTCATAGGTCGATGCTCAACCACTGAGCCCCGCCGGCCGGGCCAGAACAGTGTCTTAAGGTCTCCCATTTCTGTGCCAGAATGAAACCGTGCTCATGAGCTGCCCGACGCCCTATACTCGTAGCCGGGTTCAGTCCTCATGTAATAACGTTGCAGTCTCTCAGCTCGGCGGCCTGTGTTCCCACGTCTCACCGCCTGTGCGTGGCCACGTGTGTCTGTGCTCACAGGAAACCACCCTGGATTCTGTGGCGACCCGGGCACCCCCGCCCACGGGTCCCGGCTGGGCGACGAGTTCAAGGCCAAGAGCCTGCTGCGCTTCTCCTGCGAGGTGGGCTACCTGCTGCGCGGCTCCCCCGAGCGCACCTGCCTGCTCAACGGCTCGTGGTCCGGGCAGCAGCCGGCGTGTGAAGGTGAGTCCCCGCAGCCGGGGCGCCCAGGGGCGAGAACCTCGCAGACACTAAAACAGTGATGGCGAACCTTCTGAGCTCGGCGTGTCAGCATTTTGAAAAACCCTAACTTAACTCTGGTGCCGTGTCACATATAGAAATTTTTTGATATTTGCAACCACAGTAAAACAAAGACATATTTTTGATATTTATTTTATATATTTACATGCCATTTAACAAAGAAAAATCAACCAAAAAATGAGTTCACGTGTCACCTCTGACACGCGTGTCATAGGTTCGCCATCACTGCCCTAAGACGACCAGTAACGCCGCCCAGACGTCCTGCAGGTTCAGGCCATTCTTACAACGAAGCTGCTTCCCCCAAACGTAGACGAGGTTCCTACGAAACGTGACTGACTGTGGGGAGACCCCGACTGTTCAGAGGAGCCTCTGACGCCACGCTCACCCTCTGACCTTTATACCCGTTGAGGCCCCGTGTCTTCCCCCGACGACAGTCCCCCCGCGGCCTCACCACGCTCTGTGGTTGCTGTGGGGGCAGCTGAGCTGAGGGGCCGGAATTGGGGCGTGGAAGCCGCCGGTGGAGTCTCTGCAGCGGAAATAGGTTTCAGTCTACCTGCTGTTTCCGCCCGCCGTGCCCTGGGCCGGAGCCCGGCGCTGCCCGCAGAGCGAGGTGGTGCTGAGTGCTGCTCCGAGTGAATGTGTTGCTGTGACAGTGGAGAGGCAGGCCCGGTAGGACTTGGGGAGATGGCCCAGTGATGGCAGTGACGGCGCCAGGGGTGCTTCGCAGACACTGCGCCGTGTGCGGCCTGGCTGCCCGGCACGGTGCGCTGGGAGCCTGCATCTGCTCAGCGTCTGGGAATAAAGAATGCGACGGGTGACAGGGCCCGGGCAGTCCGCAGCTCACTGAAAAGCCACCAGGACGACACCCAGCACCTGTCACGGAACGACATCATCCAGGACACGTTTCCTCCACGATGTGCAGCAGACAGTACAGTACACACTCAGAGCACACCGACCCCGTCCAACAAACACTAGACGCTCACCTGAGATGACCCCAATGTCGGAAGTGACACCTATACTTAAAGCAGGTGTTAAACATATGGAAAAAGACTTCAGTTAGAACCATAAACAGGGGATGTCAACAGAGAAATGAAAATAAGAAAATGAAACAAAGTGGAAATTCTGAAACTGAAGATACATATTTCATATTTAAAAAAAACGTTGCTGGGTGAGCTTAGCAACAGATAGAATTGGCAGAAGGGTCACTTAACTTAAAGACGGGTGAAGGGAAATCATTTAATCTGTAAAACAGAGAAAAGCTCATGGCAGGATAATTACTACCTGGTGACATGGAGCAGTTTACTGCTCTGTACCTGGAGTTTTAGAAGAAAAAGGAGAGTAATAATGGGGCAGAACAATATTTGAAAAATTGTTGGTTATAAATGAACCAAATTTGGTAGGAAAACATAGCTCCCAAGAGCACGGACACACCCGGATGCCGCTCAGCACGGCCATTCGCTGGGACGGGGCGTTCTGAACTGGGTTTCCCGCGAGCACTGTCGCTCTGCAGATTTGAGAGGTGAAACATGAGAACAGTGAGGAGCATGTGTTCCGTGCGACCCCGTTTCGGGGAGATGACACGGAGTTCCGTTTCAGCAAAGCGTAAGCGAGCTCAGTGATTCGCTAAGAGCTTAATTGGGTCTCAGTGCATAGCGGCCCCAGCTCAGAAAACGCAAAGTGCAGTTGCATAACGTGTAAAAGCTGGATGCAGGGGGAGACGGGTCGCTCGCACATTTCAACACAGAAAATGGGTCTCAGATTCGACCCCTCCAAACCTGCATCGCCTGGAGACCACGGGAGGGAGTGCAACAATAGAGTGTGTCACACTCAGTCGCAGCAGAGACGGATGGTGGTGTGTGCCCCCCCCCCACCCCTGCCACACACACACACACTGGAAACCTTCTGGGGCTTTCTATTTCTTCTCACTTGTTCTCATAGGTGCAAATCCTGGGGACACATGTTTTTTATGGAAAAGGTGTTCGCTGGTGATGTTCTCATTTCCACAACCGTTTGCCGTAACCATATATTCCACGCCCCACCCGGTCACCTCCCGCTCGGTGAGAGTGCCTTCTCAGAGTCTCCCAGAAGCATTAGGCCCCGACGGGGAGGTTCAATAAGTTGTTAAAAGAAGGAGGAGTTCATGAGTCTCAAAACAAAAATCTCAACATTCTTAAAACATCAAAGAATTTCTATTTATAATATATCTTCATCACTTTTTAAAAATATATTTTTATTGATTTCAGAGAGGAAGGGAGAGGGAGAGAAAAAATAAAAACATCAATGATGAGAGAGAATCATTGATGGGCTGCCTCCTGCACGGCCCACACTGGGGATCGAGCCCACAACCCGGGCATGTGCCCTGATGGGTAATGGAACTGTGACCTCCTGGTTCATGGGTCGATACTCAACCACTGAGCCATGCCAGTCAGGCCCTGCTATCCTATATAATAAAAGCCTAATATGCAAATCGACCAAACGGCAGAACGACTGGTCGCTATGACACGCACTGACCACCAGGGGCAGACCCTCAACGCAGGAGCTGCCCACAGGCCCCAGGCCAGCCAGTGTGGGTGCCAGCGGGGACCCCTGATCACCCCTCCGGTAGCCCCGCAGATCAGCCCTAATCGCCAGCCAGGCCAAGGGACCCTACCTGTGCATGAATTTTGTGCACCGGGCCTCTAGTCTTTTAGTAATGACCTCATCCATTGCTCTGATGCCCTTTGGTTGCCCGCACTCACTGCCTCAGGGATGTCACTCTGTGTCTTTGCTCCATGTCCCTTGCAGCTGTGTCCTGTGGGAACCCTGGCACGCCCACCAACGGCATGATCGTCAGCAGCGACGGCATCCTGTTCTCCAGCTCCGTGGTCTATGCCTGCTGGGAGGGCTACCGGACCTCGGGGCTGACCACCCGGCACTGCACCGCCAACGGGACCTGGACCGGCACCGCTCCCGACTGCACAAGTCAGTAACTGGCCATCAAGGTCAACTCAAGGACAGGGCCATGATATGCACTTGACCAGGAGCAACAGGTTTATGTTCCCAAGTGCTATACTGTGGTTTCAATACATAGAGAAAAAAGACACACAGAGGTTTGATATTTTGACTTTATGTATTTGACACTTTTAGATTCTTGTTTATATGGTTGAAACTATGTTAAGTGGCCAGCTGGGCTGGACATTGTCCAACTGAGGCCACAAAATGTCAAGGTTTGTTCTCTCTGTGGACAACCGAGTCTGCAGGGAAGGAGGAAGGAGTCGGGTCCTCTGATCACAGACTGTCTCTCTCCTTGGCTTTGTGGTGAGATCACACTCCTGCCTGGTTAGGGTCAGGGTTAGGGTTAGGGTCAGGGTCAGGGTTAGGGTCAGGGTTAGGGTAAGGGTTAGGGTAAGGGTTAGGGTAAGAGTTAGGGTAAGGGTTAGGGTTAGGGTTAGGGTTAGGATTAGGGTAAGGATCAAAGTTAGGGTTAAGGTAAGGGTAGTATTAGGTTTAAGGTAAGGGATAGGGTAACAGGGTTAGGGTCAGGATCAGGGTTAGGGTTAGGGTTTAGCATTAGGGTTAGGGTAAGGGCTAGGGTTAGGGTTAAGGTCAGGGGCAGGGTTATGGTTAGGGTTTAGCATTAGGGTTAGGGTAAGGATTAGGGTTAGGATTAGGATAAGGGTAAGGGTCAGGGTCAGGGTTAGGGTTAGCGCTTAGCATTAGGATTAGGGTAAGGGCTAGGGTTAGAATTAGGGTAAGGGTTAGGGTTAGGGTTAGGGTTAGGATTAAGGTAAGGGTTAGGGTTAGCGTTTAGCATTAGGATTAGGGTAAGGGTTAGGGTTAGGATTAGGATTAGGGTAAGGGTTAGGGTTAGGATTAGGGTAAGGGTTAGGGTTAGGGTTAGGATTAAGGTAAGGGTTAGGGTTAGGATTAGTGTAAGGCTTAGGCGTTAGGGTTAAGGTCAGGGGCAAGGGCAGGGTTAGGGCTAGGGTTAGGGAGTGACAGGATGGCATATCTTCAGCACAACCAGGCACCGATGGGATAGAAATCTGCGCCTCCAAACACTGGTCCGTGGCAGGGCAAGAGAACATCCCTGCTGTGACCACTCATGGAGGAGTCAGTCTGAGTGGAACTGAGGGGAGGGGCTGCCTAGAAGCCGGCTCTAATTAATCCCATGCCCATTGTGTTTCTCTGCTTCTGCTTTGTTCCGGCATCTCAGTCATCAGCTGTGGAGATCCGGGCACACCAGCCAACGGCATCCAGTTCGGCACCGACTTCACCTTCAACAAGACCGTGAGCTACCAGTGCAGCCCCGGCCACGTCCTGGAGCCGGCCTCGGGGGCCACCCTCCGCTGCCTGGGGGACGGCGCCTGGAGCCACGGCAGACCTGTCTGCAGAGGTGTGTCCCTGTGCGCGGTGCGTCTCACCCGGGAAGTGCTTGTGGAATTGCCCTTCGCTCCGTCTGGCATGAGCATCGTCCCTCTGTGCACTAGGAATGCTTGTAAACGAATTTGCAAATGACAGATCACATGATTTTCTACTTCTTTTTTCCCTTTTTTTGCAAAATGATTGGAAAACAGTTATGACACTAAAATGTATACATCCCACTGTTAAAAATCAAAGTAGCGAGTCGCTGGCGCAGTGCCTGAGCTTGTTTCTCAGAAAGACTGATTGGATGGGAGTGTTCCTTCCGTCCGCGGCCGAGTGTGTACCGAGCTCACGTCACCTCCAATCCCTCTCCTGATGGTGGCTGGCCTCGCTTCTCTGTCCTTGATCTAAATTAACGAAGAGAGGTTAGGGAGAGGTTGTATCGATCGGATGTACTGTCTCCCTCAATCATTCTTTTATTAAAACATAAACGACTGCACGTAGGCGTCCCCCGAAATTCAGGTCATGTTAAAGCGTGGATCGTGCGGCGTGCGGCCGCAGAGTTGGTCTGGCTGGTCTGACCTGTGTCCTCTCCTCTGGGCAGCCGTCCTGTGCAGCCCGCCGCCCCCCGTCCTGCATGGAGAAGTGGAGGGCACCGACTTCCGCTGGGGCGCCAGCATCAGCTACAGCTGCGCGGCCGGCTACCAGCTGTCGCACCCCGCCATCCTGTCCTGCGAGGGCCCGGGTGTGTGGAAGGGGGAGACACCCCAGTGCCTGCGTAAGTCCCCCCACAGCCCCCCCCCGGGTCCCCTTTGCATCCGCAGGGGCGTGAGCACCTGGGGAGATGATGGAGGATGCGGCCGTGTGTCCCTGATGACTAGGCGAGGACAGTGCAATGTCCAAGTGGAGCCGCCACTGCCCAAGGGCGGGTTCTGCCCTTCATTTATTTTTTAAAATATATTTTCATGATCTCAGAGAGGAAAGGAGAGGGAGAGAGAGAAACATCCATGATGAGAGAGAATCGTGGACCAGCTGCCTCCTGCAGGCCCCCTACTGGGGATCGAGCCGCATCCCAGGCATGTGCCATGACCAGAATCGAACCGTGACCTCCTGGTTCATAGGTTGGCACTGAACCCCTGAGCCATGCTGGCCAGGCAGATTCTGTCCTGTAAGCCACTTATTGACCTGATGGTTGTACCCGAAGGCGGAGCAGAGCAGGGTGAGGGTCGTGGTCACCTAGCCCGGGGCGCCTCCGCGCTGACCCTGTGCTGTCCCGCCAGCTGTGTTCTGTGGAGACCCGGGCACCCCCGCGGAGGGCCAGCTCAGCGGCAAGAGCTTCACCTACAAGTCTGAGGTCTCCTTCCAGTGCCGGCCGCCCTTCGTCCTGGTGGGCTCTCCCCGGAGGACCTGCCAGGCTGACGGCGCATGGAGCGGCGTGCAGCCCGCCTGCATCGGTAAGGACTGCGCCGCCCTCGGGCATTTAGGGTGAGGACATGGCGGGTACCACCGGGTCATTTGTGAGGGCAGTGTCTCCTAGATCGTGCCCCTTGATTCCCTGGGTAGAGACCCACAGGGTAGGTGGCACCTCCTTTAAATCGTGCAAATGAACTGGGAGCCCCAGTCCGCACTGTGCTGTTAGCCCTGGCCGGGCTCTCTTGCCCAGTCACCACCCCTGGCCCATCACCTGGCAGTGGCCTTCCTTAGGGGACCCGCAGCTTCCGGGCAGGTGTCAGGTTCCGGTTCTGGAAGCAACCACAGCCTGGAGCCAGCCACGCCCTTGCTCTCCCATCCCAGCGCCTGCCTGTCTCCCCACTGAGTCCCCGTGGAACCCGCTGGGCTGTGAGCGATGACAGCCAGGGTCACATGGACACTCAGGTCCTGGTGACCTCAGGGAGTGGGAGCGAAACTTGCAACAGAAGAGACCTTCTATGCGCCCCCGGTCCCCGGTGTAGGGTGACTCCGTCTCATGGGCAGGCTGGGGTAGAGACGGCATTTGTTCCTGTGAGCGACACAGACACCAGCCCCTGACTCCCCACTCGGGTCACGGCCGTAGGCACAGGGGCGTGGCCAGGGGCACCCGCTGCAGGGGACAGGCTGCTGCCTGCGGGTCGTGGGAGCAGCTCCTGATTCACAGACAGTCTCGGTCGTTCTCTCGGAAACGGACCAACATCTACTTAGAAGCCACGGCTGAGGCCCCCCTCCCCGCAGGCAGGCTCACTGCCCTTTGCTTCCCGTGCTGCTGATGGTAGCGCTCCGTCTGCTAAACACATGCTTCTCCCCCGAGACGGTGCCGTCTGAAAACACTTTGTTTAAGTTTTCCACGAGCAGCTGGAGGGAAGCAAGTTGAAGAGCGTCCGTGTCCCCTGATGGCCCAGGTCCTGCGGCAGGAAAATGCCACCGTTGGCTGCCACGGGCTTCCGTCCTGTAGCATCAAATACGTGTCCTCCGTTCTGAGGAAAATTGACTTAAGTAAACTGACTGATGTCATGGAGGACCAGAGGAGTGGCCACTGATTGACTCCTTAAAAACCGGGCTATGCAGGGGGCTGTGGGTGATGGAGGTTTATTAACCAGCTGGTGTAGGATCGTGGTCGGCAAACTGCGGCTCGTGAGCCACATGTGGCTTTTTGGCCTCTTGAGTGTGGCTCTTCCACAAAATACCACGTGTGGGCGCACGTACAGTGCGATTGAAACTTCGTGGCCCATGCGCAGAAGTCGGTTTTCAGCCTGAGCGAGTCTATTTCGAAGAAGTGCTGTTGACATTTGGCTCTGTTGGCTAATGAGTTTGCCGACCACTAGTGTAGGAAGTCCGGAGAGAGACCGAGTCCAGGGAGGGATGGAGCAGGTGCTATGCTTATAAGACTGTGGGGTGTGAGTGCTAAAGCACGAGAGACCCTTATCTAAAAGGCGTCTCAACAGAAGGTGGAAAGAGCAATTTCCCTTAATTCCCAATCTACATACAAAACATTGCACACATGTGTCTAAAGGCAATTGTCTCATTTATGTGCGGCCTGTTAGTGTCCTGCCCCGTTTTCAGTTTGTGATTGTAAATTTCAGATCCTGCTCACAACACCTGCCCAGACCCGGGGACCCCACACTTTGGAATACAAAACAGCTCCAGGGGCTACGAGGTGAGGCCTTTCTATTTCACGGCATCGTTCTGTCAGGACAGCAGGTGCTTGCTCCTTACACATATGCTCATGTTTCCATGTGCCACGCCTGACTCATGTCATGTTTGCCCACACGAAACTCACTCAGGCAGGATGGATCTCGGTGTTTTAGCGGCCGAAAACGGGGTGACTGCGCGCCATTCCCACGGGAGCAGCTGCTCTCAGTTCCTATGGGAACGCGTGCCTCTGGCGCTCGGTGTCGGCTGAGCTGCGGGCTCCCGGGTGCTGGCACTCGGTGTCGGCTGAGCTGACGGGCTCCCGGGTGCTGGTGCTCGGTGTCGGCTGAGCCACGGGTTCCTGGGTGCTGGTGCTCTGTGTCGGCTGAGCTGACGGGCTCCCGGGTGCTGGCACTCAGTGTCAGCTGAGCTGCGGGCTCCCGGGTGCTGGTGCTCAGTGCCGGCTGAGCCGCGGGCTCCTGGGTGCTGGTGCTCGGTGTCGGCTGAGCTGATGGCTCCCGGGTGCTGGTGCTCAGTGCCGGCTGAGCTGATGGCTCCCGGGTGCTGGTGCTCAGTGCCGGCTGAGCTGTGGGCTCCCGGGTGCTGGTGCTCAGTGCCGGCTGAGCTGATGGCTCCCGGGTGCTGGTGCTCGGTGTCAGCTGAGCCGCGGGCTCCCGGGTGCTGGTGCTCGGTGTCGGCTGAGCTGACGGCTCCCGGGTGCTGGTGCTCAGTGTCGGCTGAGCTGACGGCTCCCGGGTGCTGGTGCTCGGTGTCGGCTGAGCTGCGGGCTCCCGGGTGCTGGTGCTCGGTGTCGGCTGAGCTGACGGCTCCAGGGCCTGGTGCTCGGTGTTGGCTGAGCCGTGGGCTCCCGGGTCCTGGCACTCGGTGTCGGCTGAGCTGCGGGCTCCCGGGTGCTGGTGCTCGGTGTCGGCTGAGCTGACGGCTCCAGGGCCTGGTGCTCGGTGTTGGCTGAGCCGTGGGCTCCCGGGTCCTGGCGCTCGGTGTCAGCTGAGCTGCGGGCTCCGGGTGCTGGTGCTCAGTGTCGGCTGAGCCTCGGGGCTCCAGGGCCTGGTGCTCGGTGTCAGCTGAGCCGCGGGCTCCCGGGGAGCGTGAGCGTCTGAGTGTCCATCTCCCGGCAGGTGGGCAGCAGCGTGTTCTTCAGGTGCAGGAAGGGCTACCACGTGCAGGGCTCCACCACGCGCACCTGCCTCGCCAACCTCACGTGGAGCGGGATCCAGACCGAGTGCATCCGTAAGTGGGGCCCCGGCCTCAGCCCCGTCGCCGGGAGGTGCTCAGCTTCGGGGGAGAGTGAGGGGCTCCTCGTGTCCTTTTGAGTGTCTGTCACTCCCACACCAGGATTCTCCGAGTTTGACTCACTGGGACCAGGGGCAGCAGCGTTCCCTGGGGGTTTGGGGGAGCCCTGCTGAGTGAGACCCCGGGGCGGGGTGGCCAGAGGCGGACAGGTCAGGGTTACCTGGCCCTCCAGGGGTTCCCCAGGCACCTGCGGTCTGAGGAGCCGCCTCTCCCTCACTCCAATGGACAGCGTTGTAGGGACGTCACAGAGGGAAGGTGGGCCTGTGGGTGCTGCTCTATGGCTCCTAATAGGGTTCCTTCCCCTGGGCAAGGGGCAAACTGCTGAGGGAATATGCCCCATACATGACAGGAATGTTTAAAGTGTGCTTTTTAAAATATATGTGTGTGTGTATGTATGTATGTATATTATTTATTTCAAAGAGAAAGGGAGAGGGAGAGACACATAGAAGCATCAGTGATGAGAGAGAATCACGGATCAGCTGCCTCCTCCACACCCCCCACTGGGGATGGAGCCTGCAACCGGGGCCTGTGCCCTGACTGGAATCCACCCGTGACCTCCTGGTTCATAGGTCGACGCTCAGCTACTGAGCCACACTGGCCGGACCAAAGTTATTTTTTTTATTTAACTAAATAGTAAATTTGCTAGTTGCCTTCAGACAAAAATCAAGGCATGTCTGCACTCGTGTCCATCTGTGTGTTTTGTTCATAGCACTGGTCTTTAAGGAAATGTAACATAGTCTTTATCTTAATGGTAACCAAACGTGATCGGTGTATTTCAAATCTTTGGTTTCTAGTCTAAATTCCTACACATAGTAATCACACATGCACCTGTAGAAGGGAGATATTCATGTGTGTGTACGGCAGCTGGCAAACATAGGTTTACAGTTGTTTGTATGGAAAAGAACAGAATAATTAATGAATAACAGTACAAAAGGAAACTGTTTTGTGTGCTCACAACTGTAAGCCTACTTTATGTGGGGAGACGGAGAACAGGAGACAGAGCAGAGAGCGAGATGGGGGTGGAGAGGGGGAGGGGGAGGCAGGCGGGAGCGGGTGCACCCCGCCTTCATTCTGCTGGAAGCGCAGAGGGAGACGGGATATTGATGGTATTTCGGGGGATACTGTGTTCACAGGTTTAATTGTAAAGTGACTCCATAGCCATTCCCAAACGAGTGCCCTGCTTCTGCATTTCTCTAGACGCATGTTCCCTTCCTCACGGACAGGGTTCCCGTGTCCTAACGGAACTCATCCCGTTTCAGCTCACGCCTGCCGCCAGCCCGAGACGCCGGCCCACGCGGACGTGCGGGCCATCGAGCTCCCCGCCTTCGGCTACACGCTGGTCTACACCTGCCACCCGGGCTTCTTCCTGGCTGGCGGCTCTGAGCACAGGACGTGCAAGGCCGATCTCAAGTGGACCGGGAAGTCGCCCGTCTGTAAAAGTAAGTCCGCGGGGAGGAGGCGGACAGGCCTCCCGCGCGGCAGAGCGAACGCCGGCGCCATCAGGCTGGCGTCAGGTGTGAGCTCCCGGGTGCCAGCCCCGGGGTGATGTCAGCCCCGACCCTCCGTGCTTCCCGTGTGGGCCCCGTGTGCACGTGTGTGCAGGAAGTGTGTGAGGCTAAGGGCAGACGCAGATGTTATGGTCTGCGAATCACACGTTCACCCAAAGAGAAAAGCGATTTGGCTGAAGAAAAGCATGGCGAGTGAAAAGAAAGATAGTGTATATATTTGGAAAATGTATCTTTTAATGAAAAGGGACAAACGTCACCAAGTGCTATATTTATATTAAACCAGACCCTGTGAGTGTAAAGACCACAGGCTGTTTGGTGGTGGAATATGAGTTTATGTGTTCTTGACACTGGTTCTACCTTTGAAATTACAAAAGCTATTAACATGGAAATGATGCACTAATCGCACACAAATTTGCATATTTACAAATGAGAGTCATAATCCTGGGTCAGACTTGATGAGAGCTCACCTTCCGGTTCCCCACCTGCTTAGGTTCTACGCACGCTGAGTGCCAACCACCATCGAGAAGGGTTAGGGAGCGTGGCGGAGCCCACCCCGCAGTGCTCCTTTCCTGGAGCTTATAGTCCTGCAGTTAGGAATCCTTACGCACTTTTCCTGGCCTTTCTCTCTCAGAAATAGAAGTAGACAGACTTTTAAAAATGATGACTTGTAGTTTGATACAAAACTAGAAAAGCGAAGAGATTCTGAGATAAATGTAACTTGATAGACCAAATTAAACCTCTGCAAGAGACATACTTTGGCGGTATTTGACATTCACTTGCAGGTTCATGGATGCGGTGGGGATGCATAAGTTAAGGGGAGTTATGAAATCTTAGCTATTTTGTTAACCTTTGGGTTGGGAGGGGGCAGCATGACCCAAACAGGAGTCAGGAGTGGACGAAACCACCCTCATTTGCAAGGCTCTCTGTTGTAGCACAGAAACGCAAACACACGGCCTAGGCCGCCCTGGTTTCCAGCAGGACATGCTGCTGCGAACAGAGGGGTTTCCATGGATACGGAGGAGACAGCTGACTTTGTACACGCAGGAAATCCGGAGCAAGAAAACCGCTCCCATTTGACATTTTTTTCAAACTTATTCCAAAATCAATGCTCTTGAAAATGACAGTTTGTCTCTTTACTTGTAGGTAAAGGAGTGAGAGGAGTTAATGACACAGTTACTAAAACGCCAGGTTTGTATTCCAGACCAGGGACAGGTCGCGGTCACACGCAGCGCGGCGCTCGGCCCACGGATGCGCATTTTGACAGTTTCCGATGCCCTGAGCCCACCACCACGTGCGAGATTCATTCCTTGCAAACGCCAAGGCCACACCAATTTCTATCGCTGTCACACCGTGGTCGGGGGCCTCACAAGACGCACAGACAGGCCCGTGGCATCAGCACGGGGGTTCGTGCGAAGGTGCCTCGGGCATCTCGTGGGCAGGAAAGGACACACTTTGGCGCGAGCCTGTGGTATAATGGAGAGCCTTCTAAAGAGGGTGGCCACCCTTGCCGCCCACGGGCACGGGAGTGAGTGAGGCCTGGGGCCGCGGGCCGGGTGCGAGCAGTTCAGGTGTGTCGCTCTGTGTTCTCCCAGGCGCCTCCAGGGTCCAGGCGTCCTCGGCCTCCAGAGCTCTGTGTTGTGTGTGGTGCCTGCCTAACGCGCGACCAGGCCCATCGGAGAGACGCAGGCCGTGCCCGGGGACAGGCGTCTTTCCCTCCAAAACTCAGCCGCCTCACCTCCCCCTCTTGTAACTCTAGGGAATATTTAAACAATACGATGTGCTCAGATTGTACACGCTTTTTAAACAGAATAGATCCTCTTTGTAAAGATATAGGGCCAGCCCCGGCTGGTTTGGCTCAGTGGATAGAGTGTTGGCCTGCGGACTGGATGGTTCCAGGTTCGATTCCGGTCAAGGGCACATGTACACATATAGATACATATAGTATGAGGCCCTCGAGATATGATTTTTTCATCATGGAGGGATGTCCTCCCCTGTGGAATAGTCTAGGAAGTCAGTAAAGGGAGGAACGGGGGAGGGGTGAGAGCGGCTGGCTCAGTGTGTAAAGACCTCAGGAAGCAGAGCCCGGGGCCTCCTAACGGGCCCGTCGCGTCCGAGCGGGGCTGCGAGACTCAGGCTGTGAGGGCAGGAGACCCGACCCTGTCACCCTCAGCCCCTCTGAGCCCCCTGCCCTTCAGCGCGGAGCTGGAAGCTCTAAAATATCCGCCGTGATTTCACGGTCAATTTATCACACTTCTTATTAAGCCCGATAAACTCTAACCATCGAGCCGCCTCAGCACACACTCCGCCTCCGCCGGCCGGCTTGGCATCTGGAATATTCCTCCCCCGAAGTGACAGGCGCGAGCTGGCCCCTCCCAGCGGCCCCGCCCGGGTGCACTTGGGTCTCACAGCTGCCGCGGGGCGGGGCCCTGGGGTCACCGTCCTCACCCTCGTCCCTGTCTGTGCGTCGCCCTGCGCACGCCGCCTGCCCGGCCGTCACACCCACACTGATTGCTCTGTGCCGCTCACACCCCGTGTCTCCCCCCGCAGTTCCTTCCGACGTGTTCTTCGTGGGCTCCGTGTGGAAGGGGCACTACGAGTACCTGGGGAAGCGGCAGCCGGCCACGCTGACGGTGGACAGCTTCAACGCCACCCGCAGCCGGGTGAACGCCACCTTCGCCGCAGCCTCGCAGGTGGAGCTGAAGCTGACAGGTAGGCGGCCGAGGGTGACTGACAGACGGACCGCAGGTGTGAGCGTCAGCCCCGACCCCTCACAGAGCGGCGCCGGCTCCGTGTGCCGCCTCGGGTCAGTCCGGGACCAGCCGGGCAACTTAAAGGTCACAAGCCAGTCCCACCGGCGTGGCTCAGAGGTTGAGCATCAACCCACGAACTGGGAAGTCAGGGTTCCATTCCCGGTCAGGGCACATGCCCGGTTGCGGGCTCCATCCCCAGTGGGGGGCGTGCAGGAGGCAGCCGATCAATGATTCTCTCTCATCATGGATGTTTCTATCTCTCTCTCCCTTCCTTCCTTTTTCTCTGAAATCAATACAAATATATTTTTACAAAAGGATCACAAACCAGTACAGAAAAGTCGGTGAATTCGCCCAAGATCACGCACATAGCATGTTCAGTCAAGGATGTGAGATTTGTGTTTGGGTGCCATTCAGTTCATCTCAGTGGGGGAAATGCCGCTTTCTGTGTGGCTGGTGTGGGGTATGGTTATACCCCTGTCCTCAGAAGTGAGCACAGTATAAATGTTAAAATGCTTGATTTCAAAAAGTAATATAGTGGAAAGCATATACCTGTTATTCTTCCTGTGGGTACACACGCTGTTGTCATTCACCAAAGGGAAGCGGACTCTACCCATTCAAGATAGACAACACTTTAATCAGAAGTGATCCTAAGGGGAATAAAAGGGGGGTGGGTGAAGCTAAAATTAAAAAGATAACTGGGCTGGTGTGACTCAGTGGACTGAGCGTGGCCCCAGGACCTCGATTCCCAGTTGGGGCACACGCCCAGGTTGCGGGCTCGATCCCCCGTAGGGGGGCGCGCAGGAGGCAGCCCGTCCATGTTTCTCTTTCCCATCATTGTTTCTCTCTCCTCTCTCCTCCCTTCCTCTCTTCTGGAATCAATAACAACTTATTTTAAAATCACAATTTCCCTCCTCTGTGATTTGTCACTGCTGAACCGT